ACGTGAACAATTTGTGCTCAGAGGATCAATGGTGGTGTTTTCTAAATATCCTCAGAAAGTCTTTGAACCCTTCAAGCCTAAAGCCTAATTCCCCTCCCTTTGAATGTGGGCTGAACCTAGTCACTCGTTTCTAATGAATATATATCTATATAGATACATTTATATCTATCTATATGCATATATTATATATATACACACACATAGACCCACACACATATATAAAGTAAATACATGTATATCTGCAATATATGCTATACGATCCTGGATTTTCTTTTGCTGCAATGTGTATTATTGGGACAATTGGAAAAATTCAGAGAAACCTACCTAAATAGGGTCTGTAGGTTTCAGAAATGTACCCATGTGAACTTAATGCCCTCATTCTGATAAGTTGACGTTGGTTATGTAAGAGAATGGCCTTGGGTTTAAGAAATACGTATTCAGTATTTGGGGTAAAGGGGGCATCACATCTGCAGTTTACTCTCAAATGGTTCAGAAAAAAAAAAGTATCTGTTTAGAGGGAAAAGGATAAAGCACATCTGCAAGTTTGAGGTTTGGGGAATCTGAGTGAAGACTATGTGGGATTTCTTGCCTTTTATATATAGTCTAATTTGACCCGATGACATGATCTCATCTGAGGCCGTACCACCCGCCCCCTCATTTCCTTGTGATGCGTATTCCAACAAACCAACCGCTTTCCATCTCCCACTTGTCAGAATATCCATCCCTGCTTGGACCACTCCCTGGACTTGGATTACCCGCTCCCTGCTCTCTTCTGGGGAAGGGCAGCCTCTGCACCCCTGGTGGATGGGGCCCAGGGTTTCTCTGAGCAGGGTGGCCCTGGAGGGGACAGCTGCACCCTCCGAAGCGGGCCAGCAGCTAAGGCCTCAGGGACCTGGTGTGCCCGTGGAGCTGCCCTGAGGCCTGCCCGCAGCCTCCACCTCCTCCCTGCTCACCTCCTTGCCACCATCATCCTGCACCTTCCAGGCTGGAACCTCCCATTTGATCCTCGCGGCCAGGCAGCCAAGGGGGGGGGGTGGAGCTCGAGTTAGACTTGCGTCTGGGACCGTCATTTGTCCTCGGCTGCTCTGGCTCAAGGTGGCAGGTGCTGGGTCGGGGCAGAAATATCTAAACGCCTGGGAAAGGGCAGCTGAGCCCCAGCAGCGAAGGGCATATTTGTCTTGGGGAAGCCGGTCTCTGTCTGCTACGTGCAGGAAGGCACCTTTGCAGGCTGGACGTGTCTAAGGCAGGGTCCATCCGTCCCGTTCCTGATGCACGGTCCCTATTTCTGTCCAGCTGCAGGGGGAGCCACACAAGGTGTTTTTCAGAGGCACTGCTGCGACTCAGGCCAAGGGGGGTGACAGAAGCTACAGGGGATGGGAGGCAGGGAGAGTAACCCTGAGGCCTTGTTACCCCAGTGGGAAGGAAGCTCGGTGTGGTCAGTGCTGCGGGTGCAGGCCTCATCGGGGCCACAGTATAAAGCGTGGCCTCCCAAGAGAAAGCAATGTACCTAGGCTATAGGGTCCCCGGCACAGAAATGGGGCGCCCAGCTCTCCGGAAGATGTCAAAGGCAGGACGATCTTGATCCAGCCGGAATGATTTATTTAGGTAGGACGTCTGGCAAAGAGACAGGCTCGGTTGACTTACTGCCTCTCTGATTCATTTCCTGGAAGGGGCAAGTAAAAAGCAGCAGAATCTGACTCCACTGGCTGAGGATATAAAACATGATCTGCATGGTTGATCAAACCTCGGAGGGGTTTTTGTTCTTTTGTTTGTTCTGGATATTATCAGGCATGGTTTCTTTCTTTCTTTCTTTCTCTCTTTTCTTTTTGACAGGGAGACAATCCCTTCTGTTCTTTGAAGAAAAAGCTAACGACCCCAGTTGTGGTTAAAAACATTTTTTTTTTTTGGTCCTTCCTGGAAGTTTATATTATTTCAGAAGCATAGAGCTTAGGACGGAGACATTGTTGTGTGTGTGGCTTGCTGAGTGAAAAGCCTGTTTTTGAGTCAGAACAGTGTAGGCTGAACACTCACATTGTGTAGAAGGGGTGTAGGAGGTAACACAGCAGACCCTGGGTGCGAGGAACAAGCAGGGATTGTGTGACTCCCCGCTGGGGTGGCCCCGGTGGAGGAGAGCCCACGGGGTGAGCCCGGGGGGGCCCATCCCCTCACCCCAACTCAACACGGCCCTGCCTCCCCCTTGGCTTGAAATCCTCCCCTGGGAGGGCTGCCTTGGGCATGGAGGAGTTAGTTCTTGCCCAGCGAAGCCTCCCTCAGGAGGAAAGGGGACATGTGGCTGCCTTCCTCCCTCACGTTGGCCTTCTGGCCAGATGTCAGGCCCTGAGGGAAGAGGACGGCTGATCTCCACAGCATGGAGGCCCTGTGTGCTACCTGTGCAGACCTCTCTTGCAGGGGCTGGGGTGAGAGGAAGAGGAAGGTGTGAGGGGCACAAGACGGTGCTGAGAGGGCGGGATGGGGTTGGGAGGACAAGGGTGTGTGCACTGTCTTTGTCTGTCTGAGGCACTCACGTCCCAGCCCCCTGTCGTGGTGGACGTGTGCGTGTGTGTGTGTGTGTGTGTGTGTGTGTGTGTGTGTGAAACAAATGGGCTGACGGAGACCTCCCCAGGACGCTAGGGGGGACAGGAGCTGCCCCTCAGGCCTCTTCTCCCTGACGCTGTCACCTAAAAACAGACAGGAAGCAGCGTGCTCCAAGGCAGGAACCCCAGCCGACTGGTCCTCAGGCCAGTGGCATCGCTGTCAGGGCACAAAGTACCACTTGACTCCAGGTTATTTTAAGTAGAGTGAGATGCTGACGGCAGGCCTCCAACTCGTGAGAAGGCAGCGGGATTTCTCCCAGGTCTTCACCCCCTGTTAGAGATTAGGCCTGAGAATTAGGTTGTTAATGGAAATAAGGGGCCTGTTTTCCAGAAGGTGATATTTAGAAGCAGGGAGAACAAATTGTCAGATACTATTTGTCTCCATGTGAAAGCGGTTGAGGGGGGCCCCCAGAGCTAAGCCATTTCTTCTCAGCCAGAGGGGGAGGGTGGCTGGGATGGGGGCCGTGCTGGGGACTGGGCCTCACTGGGTCAGCCTGGGGATGCCCCTCGTCCACCTGGAGCTTCCAACTGCCCACCCAGGGCAGTCCCAGGGCAAACCGGGAGGCTTAGAAAGACTCCTCAGAGGAGGGACAGAGACAGTGGGGGGTGCGGCTGGCCTCCCTGCCTCTGCTCCCTCCTGTAGCAATGCCACTTGTTCCGGGGGCTGGGGACAAGGCTCCCTCTGCCCCCACAAAACTCCCCATCTTCCAAGGACCTTATCTACCATTCAGCTCTTACTTAAGCAAAATGAAAGCAATGCACCCTCTCTTCCAGGAAGAATTTCTATTTAAGTTTTCTGTCTAGACTTTATACCCAATGCTTCATTGAAAAATTAGGAGAAACTACATGCACATGCACACACACACCTAATTACCATAAGCTCAAGACTATTTCTAGGACTTAGAGGTTACCTTGGCTGACCTGAGCTGTACTTCCCTTCCACTGAGCCACTTAGAGGACCCCACTGTGGCCCTCCTCCAGCTGTGCATGAAAAAATGAGTATGTGGGGCCAAGGGATGCACCCAGCAAGAGCCCTCCGCCGTCACTTCCAGTCCATGAGCTGGGAACCCATGATTCCCACATTTTCTCCCTACTTCCAGGGCCTGCCTGCATTGTCTTCTTCCGAGGAGCAGACCATGCCACTGTGTGCACCCTTCCCCAAGGGGTGGCGGAAGGACACCTATTTTCAGGGGTGGGGGAGTATGAATAGAGCTTGGGTGCATGGACTAGGGTGCCTCGTGGCATGTACCTAGACCCCCCTGCCACCATGTTCACGTGCAGCACTCCTGAGAATCCAAGAATTCTAAATGAGAACTTGACCTTTTGGGTGGTTGCAAGTCCCGTTTGTTAAAGTAAAAGGATAAATGATATTCTATTTAATGGTTTGTTAGCTTGATGTGGAACTTTTAAATGTTCACATGTACCAGTGTGGGCTCCTGTGTGTGTTCTTGTCCCAGGCTGGACGCGGTAGGAGAGGGTCTTTTGTTGGGTGTGTTCTCTACACCCCAAAATCACAACAGAAGGAAACTTCGGGGAACAAAGGGAAGTAGAAGGGAGGCAGAGTTAAAAGTAGCTTATGTCTCCACTGAATATATAAATTTAAAATGTAGCGTTGCGTCGGGTTTGTTTTAAGGAAAAGATGGAAGGAAATATTCATGAAAAGAAAATGTTTTTCTTCTCACAATTGGAGTGCGTGGAATGCTGTTGTGCCCAAAAGTAAGAAAGTGAAAGAGAGAGAGAGGCAGACATGTCCAAAAGACACAAGAGCAGCTTGAAGGGACTCCCACTGGCCAAATCTTAGGCAATTTGAACCTCAAAATAAATAATAAGAGTAATAGATTATAACGCACTGATTAATATAGGAATTCCTATGCCCATGGTGATGTAAGATAAGGCCTCTCAGGTGTAGAGGTCTTAATTATAACAAAGAAAATATGGAAGCTATTTTCTTTATCACTAGTGAGAAAAAAATTTCAAAAACAGTTGATAGTAAGCTTAATAATTCTCCATCTGAAGAACTGGAGCAAATCATATAATTCCAGAACTGGGAGTGTGCTCTCCAAACGTCTCCATTTTACGAAAGAGGAGGCTAAGATATGGTTTCAGTGAGCAGGTTTCACTTACTGGTAGGCGAGGGACCAAGTCATGCATCAGGAAGAAGAACCACGCATCATGCACTCGAAGATGGATGTGTTACCACCTGTGTGGTATCACTTACTCCTTGTGACGCAAATACTGTCTTCAGATTGTTTGACAACGCTCTGGCCGTTGTGAGCCACAACACACGCTGCAGAAGAGCTCTGAGGGGCCCCGGGGAGTTTTCCGTACATATTTTATGGGTGGCTATGAAATTACTTATGGCCATGACACTAATAAAGGAGGCGGCGAGGAGCCATTTCAACTGACCTCTTCTCCAACCATGAGAGGTAGGTAGAGCTTTCACACTTCAGAGTCGTGAAAGTGTAACCGAACACATGCTGGGGGAATTTCTTCAGTTCAGCCTCGGTCATTCTTCGAAACCCCAGAACCACATCGGCCCAGAATGGCACTTCCTCAGTAGGAACACTCCGAAATATCTGCCAACTCGAATACGTAAGTGGAAAAATTTCCTGAAATTTTGTGAAATACATTTCCCGAGAACCCCCAACCCCATGACATTCTCTAAAGCATTTTACAAACCCACTTCCTATACCCATAAAAAGAAAGAGATCTATTCTTCTATTCTCTTGGGTTTAGATCGCTCGGCGGTTAAATTTAAAATGTTCATGACACTGGGGGGAATGAGACATTTTAAAAGTTGTGTTCTAAAAATTAGATTTAATTCTTTTTTTTTTCTGCAAAGCTGTTGCTCAGATTTTCTTTATTTACTTATGACTATGGCATTTTTGAGGAAAGGTTTTGGTGTTTTGTGTAACATTTTACATAAGTTGTAAGCATCCATCAGAAGTTTTAAGGTTGCCCTCAATTTTGAACAAAATACCTAATTTGAAGCGAGCCATGGTGGGCGTATGGGAGGCAGAGTGTGAGTTATGAGTTAAGTTGTGGGTCATCCCCTCACGCTGTCAGTAAGAGAAACTGTGTCGTCAGGAGGAACCCAGTTATTGATAAGCCACCAGCATGGCCGGGGTGGATGAGGCTAGAATGCTACTGGTGGTTAACCAGCCGGTAGTAGTGCTACCAACAGCTGCTAGGACTGGGTTTGGATTTGCAAGCCTTGGTTTGTTTTCATCGATAGGAATAAGTGCTGTACATCACGGCTGCTCTAAAATAGCAAGGACAATCACCTTACTGTACCTAGTTGCTAATGATGTGGTCATTCGCACACCAGAATTTATATATCCCTCAGTAATTTATTCAGAGGGGTCCCCGGGGAAGGTGTGAATGCCGTTTACTACAGGGCTCCTTTCTGGGCCTTCTTGCTGCCTCATTCTGCACACCCTCTCTGGGCTAGATCGCCCCTCCCTTATCTTCACCACCGTCTACAGGCTAAACACGTTGAGGGCTACGCCTCCTGAGCTCCAAAGCCAGACTCAGACCAGCGTTGACTTTCTTTCTCCCCCCCATTCCACATGCCACCAACTGCCAAGTCTCAAGTCCCATCATCTCTCTTCCCAGGCATTCCTCAAATCCATCTACTGTCACTCCCCGCCCCCATTGTCAACTCTTAATCGATTATACCACCATCTCTCTCTCTCCACACCTCTGTTCTCTACACTACAGGCAGGTTATTTTTGACATGTAAACATGATCAGTTGGTTCAATGGATAACATCTCTCAATGGTCCCATTAGCCTGAATGTTTTCAGTCTCTCCAACACACCACAGTTGCCCTAGACTCTGGTCTGTGCCTATGAGGTTCCCTCTACCTAGAATGCCACCCCTTGTGTCCCCAACCCTTTCTCTTCCCCCTTCACTTCTACAATGTCACCAGACTGACCTACCCACACTCATCTGGATGGGCTCTGCTGAAATATCACTTTGCTCCAGGTAGCTTCTCAAACTTCCCAGAGGAGGTTATTCTCCAGATATCCACTCCCATGGTACCCTGTACTCTTCCCTTGGTAACTCATGTCCTATTTGCAACTAGTTAGATTTAGGATCTTCTCTACAGACCATGAGCTATATGAGGGCAGGACTGTGTCTTTTTTTCCTCAAAAATTCACCCAACATATATTTACTGAGCATTTACTATGTGCTAAGCAGTGTGTACTAAATTGCTTGTTACTGTATCACTAATACCTAAGGGAGTACCTGATACTAGGGAAAGCTGAATAAATTGTTTTGTAGAAATGCATAGATGAACAGATGAATAAGGCTCTACACTTATGCCAAAGGTGCTCAGGACATTTGTGCCCTTGACTTCATCTGACTGATTCAAATCCTATGTGTTGTGGAAGCAAATGGTATAAAAATCACTCATGTGAGAAAAGTAAATAACTCTCTTTTAGACTAGCTCGAAGTACATTTTTAAAAATATCTTCCATGATGGTGAAACCCTAGTCTTGAAAGGACGTTTACATTTTAGACACGACTGTTTTCAAAAGTTACTTAGAGACAAAGTTTGTGAGTTAGATATGATCACATTGATTTTGTTTTTGTTTCTTTTTTTTTAAGATTTTATTTATTTATTCACGAGAGACACAAAGAGAGAGGAAGAGACATAGGCAGAGGGAGAAGCAGGCTCCATGCAGGAAGCCCGATGTGGGATTTGATCCTGGATCCCACGATCACAGCCTGAGCCAAAGGCAGATGCTTAACCACTGAGCCACTCAAGCATCCCGGTCACATTGGTTTTGGACAAAACCAAATTGTGGTCATAAATCAAGGAGAACAATTTTTCTATGTGATTCGTCAGCTGAAGTTCTAGTATCAATTCACCTCCAGAAGGTAGAGCAGAAGTCAAAGTTGCTACTCTGTCTGGGTGTAGACTGTGGGAACCTAGTGGCATCAACACGTTAGTGATGGTGAGGGAAGGCAAGAGGAAAAGCATAGAATAGAAATCTGCCTGATGCAGGTGTGTTCACTAGCAGAAAATGTCAGGATTGCAAAGGAGGAGGGACAGGTTTTTCTCAACAGTATAAAAGATGCAGTGGTTTTGAGAACTTGGTAAAAAGCAAACAACCCTCTGCTCTTCAGAAAGCTATAGGGCTACTGTGTTATCACACGGGATATGACGGATGGCATGTGTGTTATATCACAAATTAAAGACATAAATTAAAAGTGACAGGATGGTTAGTGATCTCTTTTTAAGAAGACAGAAAGATATTGTCATATTCTAAGTGCTAGTTTGCATTAGAAATGCTAAATAGGATTGTTTTTAACTCTTTCATTTAATTATGAACTCCCCAAATCAGATATTAAGAATCAAATAGAGGGGCGCCTGGGTGGCTCAGTCAGTTAAGTGTCCAACTCTTGGTTTCGGCTCAGGTCATGACCTCAGAGTCATGAGATCAAGTCCTGAGTCTGGGTCCACACTGGTGTGGAGGTTGCTTAAGATTCTCTCTTTCTGGGGCCCCTGGGTGGTTCAGTGGTTGAGCATCTCTCTTTGGCTCAGGTTGTGACCCCGGGGTCCTGGTGTTGAGTCCCGCTTCAGGCTCCCCATAGGGAGCCCGCTTCTCCCTCTGCTTGTGTCTCTGCCTCTCCCTGTGTGTCTCTCATGAATAAAGAAATAAAATATTTTAAAAATTTTTAAAAAACCCTCTCTTTCTCCCTCTCCTTCTGTCCTTCCCCGAGTACCCCCCTGCTCATGCACACTGTCTCTCTAAAAAAAAAAAAAAAAAAAAAAAAAGAGTAAAATAGAAATGTCCAAATCATTTCAAAAACACCAAGCTCAGTGTTTACCTGCTATATGGTTTTTTGGCCATATTTGTGAGTCACTGCATAATCCCTGAGGAAACTCAAAATAGTATTTGTGATGAGAAATTGTAATGTTGTTTAAAAGTCTAATACTATAGGGGGGCCTGGGTGGCTCAGTCGGTCAGGTGACCAACTCTTCAGCTCAGGTCATGACCTCAGGGTCCTGGGATCAGGCCCCTCATTCAGCTCTGTGCTCCTTTGGAGGCTGCTTAAGATTCTTCTTTCTCCCTCTCCTTCTGCCCCTCCCTTGAGTACCCATCCGCCCGCCACTCACTCACTCTCTAAAAATAAATAAATAAAAATTTTCTTTAAAAGTCTAATACTATATATACTAATATATAATATATAATATATAATTGATATACTCATAACTTGTCTCCCTTGAGTTCTTTGCAGGAAAGCCTAAAACGTTCTTCAAAATCCTCCCGCGTCTAGTTCAGCACTCTGCTCACAGCAGATGCTCGACAGTATTTTATGTTTAATTCTAAAGTCCATTAAGATCATTCTAAATTCTAAAATAACTTCAGATTTCCTCTCTTACCCAGATACCAGATGAACACCAGCATCTTCAGCTTCTGCAGAATTGGCAATTGCAAATAGATGATCAAAGGTCTCTCTAAACCACTGCTTCTGCTTGGGAATGGGTATGTCTGTAATCATGGGGGAAAGCAAAGCGTGAACAGAAGGGAAGTGGCGATGATAACTATGCTTCAAACAAGCCCCTTCCCAGAAACTGGGAGAAAACAAAGAGGCAGGGGAGGAACATTTAGATAAGGTACCGTGTTGTGGTAGAGAATCTATCAGCAACCAGAGTTTTGAATGTGACACACGCTGTTGACTTGTATTTTATGTAAAGATTAATCATCAGAGGGTAAATTGGCCGAGCAGGACAAAATCTGATATATGAGCCATCTGGAAGGTGGTCTTTGGCACTAGATACATTCTAGATCTTGACAGGCGCTTGACCAATCTGAGCAGAAGTTAGTTCAAGCCGAGTGAAGTTTCCAGCTGGCCACACAGTTGAAACAATAGAAGAAAGAACTTAGAACCTCTCTCCTGGCCTGTGGGGCCCAGGTCAACCAGAACAGAGAACGGACTACATCGATAGGAAGCCCAGGTTGCTTACCCTCTGATACAAGGAGACAAGGCCTGTCTCGTGGAGCTGAGCTCCTCGGGAAGGACTTGCTACAGCCCCGTCCAAAGCTGCCACTGCCTCCACCCCCCTCCACTCCATGGAATCACACAATAGCTTAGAGTCCCCGGGTCACTCGGCACCACCTCCCTGGCACAGCACCGTGGGTCAGTGCTCCGTGTCAGCCAGGCATCCCTGCAGTGGCCACCTGCAAGAGGCTGGACCCAGATCCAGCTTCTGGAAGGGTGTGGGCCTATCGGAGATGAAAGAAGGGGTTTTGGTTCAAGCCCCCAAATAATAGCGTCCAGTGTGGTCACAGAGAACAAGCGTAATCTGGAGAGGTGCAGACAAATCCAAATGGGGTGAGGAATTGGGCCATCTGATCCCTCTGGAAGGGTCATGAGGGAGAATCCAGGGTGGGGCTAGGGACTGCTGGGCAGGGGGTGGGTGGCTGAAATGGGGGCAGCCACCGAGGAGGTGAGGGCCCTGAAGCAGAGAGGGTGCTAGGTAAGCTCTGCGTGGAGGACTGTCCCTAGAGTTCACAGTAGAGATGAAAAGGCCTCTGGAGACATCCTGCTCCCCAAAGTCCCCAGGTCAATGAGGGCATCTCAGCCTGCGGGGTTTTATGGCAATTCACTTGTTAAAGTGCCAACAATATTTAATAGTGGGTCTATGCTGTCGTCTTTAAATCGTGTGCCCATGTGAGCTCAGCCCTGTATTCCAAAGCTGCAGACTGGGCCACTGGTTTAGAAATAAAGAAGGAATAATAAGCTTGCAAAAAGAGCGGAATCAGACCTCACATGGATTACACCCCAACAACCTAAGCCGGTACTGGGGGCTGTGTTGAAACGCAGACCCCTGTTCCCATTTTAAACTTCAACAGCAAAATAGTAGCTGCGACTCACATGCTGTAGGAGTCATCCCTAAAGAACGGACAATTCGAATTCAGCGGTGGAAAGAGCAAGCAAGCCGGGTGATCGGATTCCTGCGCGAGGGCTGGTAAGATAACTGCAGCTGCCGTAGTGGTAATAATAACAACGGTGGTTGATAGGGCACTTTCCAGGCCTGCTCTAACTGCTTTACGCATCCTAACTTACTAATCCTCACAGCAGCCCTGTGGGACACGTGTGGTCCCCCTATACTGACAGAAGACATCACTGTTATCACTGGGGTGGCCTGAAAGAAGCCCCAAGAGAAAACTGAAGCCCTTATTCTGGAAGCATCAGGAAGAAACACTCTCTGATCTCGGGGCCGCCTAGCTGAAGGGTGAGCTCGGCCTCAACGGCCCGCATGAACTCTTAGATGGGCCTCCGTCTTTGCAGTTGGTTCCACGACTCTCCTGCGGCCTACTGACCACTCGCCCGGGCCTGGTGCGAGCAAAGGAGCCCCTGGAAAACAGACAGAAGAACTCTGCTCACAAGAGAGGTGCCCAGAAGGTACGCACTAGCATCCTGCAAACAGCCCGGGTTCCTGGGCCTATTTCCTGTACATGAGTAACTTAGATTTAAAAAGGGGGGCGGGGGGGCACCTGGGTGGCTCAGCGGTTTGGCGCTTGCCTTCGGCCCAGGGCGTGATCCTTGGGTCCTGGGATCAAGTCCCGTATGGGGCTCCCTGGACACAGCCTGCTTCTCCCTCTGCCTGCATCTCTGTGGGTCTCGTAAATAAAAGCTTTTTAAAAAATAATTTAAAAAAATAATAAAAGGTAAAATTAAGAGGAAGAAAAGGAGTGGGAATGAGAAAGTGGAGCCAGGGAGTATAAACCTCATTGGCTGCAAAGTGATTTTGGTTTTTGTTGGATGCTGCTTCCCGCCTGCTGCTCTTTCAAGTGAAGAGTACGGAGTGGAAAGGATGTGGGAACATACTAAAAAACAAAAACAAAAACAAAAAACGATGCGTCTTTCTGCCCGAGTACCTCTGCCTGATGGTCTGTCCAGGGCCTAGAAGGGATAGCTTTAGCCCCACTGCAAGTGATTTGTGACCCAGTGGCCCTTACGGTCCTGGTAGGGACCCTGAGCACTGCCCATCTAGGGGTCGTGAGTGCTCCTCACTGAGCCCCTCGAGGCGCGGCCTGCGTCCCAGGTCCCCGGGCCCTTGAGGATGCTCCACGGACGTGTGGTCTGAGCCAGACATGAAGCTTTGTCCCTCAGAGCCACCAAGGAGTGTGAGCACCCGCGGCCTAGTGCAGGCCCGACCGCGGCCCGAAAGGTAGGCCCCGTGTGGCAGGCACACGCACCAGCAGCTGGCTGTGCCACCGCCCCCGCCACAGTCCCCGCGACAGCCGTCATCGCCCACCGACGGGCCGAGTCCCTCTCACCTGGATACGTGTGAGGAATGAGCATCCCGGCTGCCACGTCGCTGGTGGTGTGAGGAGTGACCTTGTCTGCGACGACCATGACGGTACACGGTGGGCCCAGCTGGGAAAGGCACAGGGCGGTGGAGAGCCCCACCACGCCGGCCCCCACCACGGCGACCCGGGGCCGGTGCATGGTCCTGCGGGGACACGCGGGCACCGGGCCAGGCCTGAGTCTGGCGGGCGAGGCCCTCTGCAGGTCCCCAGCTGCTGGACGGCAGGCTGTCCCGGCGGCGCTCCTGGGGCTCAGTGTGTGTGGGGGGGGCAAGGCCTGGGCCCCACGTTGCACACGAGCACAAAACCAGCCTGCGGGGCCTCCAGAGCACACTTCTGCTCATTCCGTCCCCTCCCTCACCCCCTTCTCCTGCAGCCCAGCCTTGTCCCCAGGTACAGATGCCCTCTCTGCTCCCAAAGCCCCCTGGGGGGCAACCACTGAGAGGACGTGGCCAAGTGGGCAAGTCTGGAACTCGGCCCTTACTGCTTACAAACCGGTTTTTAGTTATAACAGTGAGACAGGAGGTGTGAACACCTGAACCCCACCTCCCCTCTCCCGCCCCTCGCTCTAACTGGAAACCAACCCTCGACTCCCCCTCCCTGCCTCCGTCACCGCCTTCCCCACCCACCCCTGCCTCTTCCCCTCACCCTGTACCTGAGACCGCACCCTGAGAGCAGACTTTCCAGATAAGGAACCTGGATTCCTTTGCCCACTCAGGTCTGACTCAATAACCTGGAGGGAGGGTGGGGGGCAACCCATGGCCTCCTGGCCTCAATTCCCTCATCTGCAAACCAGGCCGTGTGAATTCTTTATTGGTTCCTTTGGGTTGGAAATAAAGACCCCCAGAGGTTGTTCCTTCTGAGAGTCGGCGTGGAAATGCGGGAGGTGGACATGCAGAAGCCCGAGACTGGCGCCCTGCATGGGAACAACTAGGGGTGGATGAGGCCCGACTCCCTCTCCCCGCACAGCTGGGCCCCAGGAGCCCACTGAGCCCTGCTCTGCTGTTAGCTTCCCCGACCACTGTGGCTTCCCACTGTGCTTGTCTTTCCACCCGTGTTCCCACTCTCTAACTCTCTCTGGGTCTAGGTTGAAACTCCAGAGAAAGGAAATGCAAGTATGCCAGTCGGTCACCGTCATCTCCATCAAGGTTCTAGCACCAGGCCGGCTCAGTGGGCTCAGGCAGCCTGTAATGGGCTCTTGGTGCAGCTGCCCTTTCCCGCCCGATCAGCAATAGGCAGGTGGGCACCTTCTATTCACAGGGGTCCTGTGGTCCAAATCGTGGCCACCAGGCTGTCACAGTGACCTTGGCCCTGGAGGGTGCTGGGCAGTTCTGCTGGGAGCGGGGCAACCTGGCGGGGCTCGGCTGTCTGCGGTGTCTTCCAGCTCTGAGGGGCTCTGGCTCGGGGATCAGTTAAAGTCCTCCCATGAGGGGCAACGCGTGTTGACCCCCCCGCCCCCCACCCCACCCCCCCGCGGGCCGGCTAACTGAGAAGGAACAGGTTGGCCAGGACGCAGGGAAGGGCCTGGCGCACCGGAGAGACCCGTGGGGGCGGGCAAGCTGGAAGAGCAGAGCCCCACCCGTCTCCCCCCGGGGGGGCAGAAGGCACCCACCCCTCCCCTCGCTGGCTTTCCCATTTCTTAGGTTCCCCTGCCCAGCGACTTTCTCAAAATAGCCAAGTCAAGGGGAAAGTAATCTGTGGCTGAGAACAGCTGGCTGCCAGGGAGGAGAAAAGTGAGCCGGCAAGGGGGAACGTCCTGGCCCTGCTCCCACTAAGACTGCCCCCAGCCCCCAGAGCACATACAGGGTGACCCCCGAGCTGCAAGGGGAAGGATTCCAGTACCTGTCTCTGCAAAAGCAGCCTTGGAACCCACAGCAGGCTCTGGCACCAATACTTGTTTGCCCGGTGAGTGGTTGGTCTAGTGCCCTGAGAGACACAGGGAAAGTAACACTGCTTCCCATTGGGGAATTTATTAAGGACATTCCCTCTAATCTCCCTCTCCATTGGCCCACCCCCCCTTCCTGGGTCTCTGGGTCTCTGTAACTTATTTCCCTGGAGAAAGGAAGTATTAACTTCATTTCGTAAGCTCCATGGAACTGTGGCTCTGCCAAACCCCGAGAGCTCGTCGAGCCTCAGCAGCTCTCCTCTTTCTGGTTTGCAAACCTTCCATCTGGCCACCAGTCCGGGGGTTCGCCAGCTGATTTACAGGCACGGGGCATAACAGGTGAACCTGCCCCCTGCCAGCAAGCTCTGGCCAGAAGCCACGCAGGTCTCCTCACTTGTCTCTTCTGGGTCAGTGGGTGGGGGCAGGAGTGGGGGCAGGGTGAGGGCAGGATAACGTGGTTGATCACTAACAAGATGACCTGACTGCAGTTGGAAAAAGTACTCAGGAGATAATGGAGGATAAAAACCAAAGGATTCTTTAGCCCACATAGTCAAATATTTGCAGAGTCCACCATGTGGTAGATGCTTGATGACAACCAACAAGTTGTTGATGGGGAAACAGTCTGATGTATCAAAATAATAATAATATTGTAATTAATATATATTTATCATTAACCATGGGCTAGGTGCGTGTACAACACCATATAACGCAACCACCCTCTGAAATAGTGAGATACTATTATTATCCCCATTCAATAGATGGATAAATTGAGGCTCCAAGAGAGTAAAGAAGAGCCCAAGGTCTCCTAAGTAGCAAAGCCCAGTCCGAGTGTCCAAGTCCTGAGACTCCGAGGCTCAAGGTCTAAATCAAAGCACGCACCTTGATGTCAAGAGACCTGTTCTACCTTGAGCAAGTCACCCAACTTCCGAATTCCGATTTCCCCTTTTGAAAGTTGGGAGTGAGCTAATTTCTCTTACAAGTTGTTGTAAGCATCTGCTGAGTTAAAATATGTTAAATTCATTGCGAATTGGCGTATATAATTTTAGTGAGCACCTACTATAAAATCAACCAACACTTAGGGAGCACCTGCCCTGTCCAAAGCAGACTGCGAGGACTACAAGAGATTTAAGGGTTTCTAAAATAATGTTTTTCTCCCTCGGGCAAGAAAACAAGGCAAAATAAGCCAGTCCTTTAATATGAAGCACAAACCAGAGGTGCTGTGGGGGCTCAGAGAGAGGAGAACGTGGTGAACCCAAGTGGCCAGTCCAGAAGAGACGAGGGGAACTGAGGAAGGGTGTCAGAGTCGGTGCTATGTGGTTGGGCAAACAAGAGGAGAGAGAGAATTATCAGGACGGAGGAGGGTGTGAGCGAAGTCACAGAGGCAGGAAATTTCAAGAAGAGCTGAGGAAACAGTGAGGTGTCTCCGTGGGGAAGTCTGGGTGGGAGCAGGGTGTGAAATCTGGCCCGGATGGAGGACACCATTTGAAAAGTAATGGGAGCCACGGAAGATAGGTGAGAAGGCTCCTTCTTCCCTCCCTGGGGCCAGGACTCTACTGTCCTCTGAGAGCAAGAAGAGGAGAGAACATTTAGAAATGAAACTAAGAACACAAGCCATGTGTGTAGACAACTCATAGGTCTTTTATATTTTTGCTCCTCAGAACTGTAACCATATCAACTTGAAAGAGGAGTCATTTGGAAAACTGATAGAACTGATGGAGGTATCCATGAGGGTGGGAGTTGAAAGGGCCATCCCTGGCCATCTAGTGGGGTTTTGTGTCATCATTTAATAGGCAAGTGGCTGAGGTCCAAAAAAGTTGAAGGGACACCCCCTCCCAAGACTGTAGGTGAGCTCTGCGTCATGATCCTCAGAGGATCATGGTTTTTCAGAGACTCTTTACCATGGCCTTGGAGGTCCACAGAGGCTCCCTTGTGCTGTGTATTGGGGGCCTCCCTGGCCCCCCAGCCCCTCCTGCTTTGCTCTCCACGGGCATGTGTGGCTTGTAGTGTGTCAGCCTTTACTGGTGCCAGTAAATAAAGAGGCTCAAACCAACAGAACTTGAATTTTTTTAGAATGCCATCAAGGTGTTAATGGAAACCCCAACTACAGGTTGGGGTAGGGAAACGGAAGGAGTGGGCTCAGGGTGACCTGCCTCTGGTGTGGTGGCTAGCCCTGAGTCGAGACCCAGAAGAAGGGCACAACTCGTAACCCTTTCTTCTTTGTAAAATCATGTGACTTTCAAGACCCACTTACTAGAACGTCCATGAATATCTCCTGATGGGGTAGGTGAGCCCAGGGAGAGGCAGGGAAGGGATGAGGACAATGAATTTACTTAGGGAACAGGCAGTTGTCAGTAAATACTGGTGCAATATGAATTTTAGAGATAAAACAAGCAGCTGCTACCGACTTCTGGCAAATCCAGATAGTTCATCTCTGTTGGGGGAAGTTACCGTGGACTCTGGCTTCTGCAGTCAGCATAACAACCTTGAATAAGAGAATATTCCTCTTCATCGTCTACAAGAATTTATTAAGTACCCCTTTGGATACTGTGTCATTTAGTAGAATGAACCCTTTGTCTTCCGGACCCTTTCAGTAATATTTGGTAGGCGTGAGAGAAAGGCAACAGAATACATCAGAACGTATTTCCAGTATGAACTTCCTGAACAGCACAGTGATGGGAGGAGGGACAGAGTCAGTCTTTTGGGGATCTGAAATCTATACAGTTGTTTGGTTTAGTGTTTTTTTTTTTTTTTTGGAAGTTTTTTTTTTTTTTAAAGATTTTCTTTTTTTTTAATTTTTATTTATTTATGATAGTCACACAGAGAGAGAGAGAGAGAGAGAAGCAGAGACACAGGCTGAGGGAGAAGCAGGCTCCATGCACCGGGAGCCCGACGTGGGATTCGATCCCGGGTCTCCAGGATCATGCCCTGGGCCAAAGGCAGGCGCCAAACCACTGCGCCACCCAGGGATCCCTTTTTTTGGAAGTTTATACAGTTTTCAAAGCCCGGGGTCACTTTGCTATCATCTGACAGAAGGGGAATGTGACAAAAGGAAAGTAGAGTGGAAAGAGACAGTATTATTAACTGATTGCAGTGAACGTATCTTAATTTTGCAGAATTTATAAAATACATTTTACAAAAATGTATAACCAAATGAACTCATTGTTAAGATCTCTCACAAGAGCCTATGCAAGGGAGGGAAGCGAAGTGCTCTTGGCTTCACAGGAGGTGTTCTTTGCAGCTAGTGGGCCAAAATCTATCACCAGAATGATCTAAATGGCAGAGTCCTCAAGAGAGAAACAACACATGTTGGAGGTCACAATCAACTCGATTCCAATACCAATGCTGTGGTATTGACAGAATGGGCCTCAAATGGCCAATGGCCAAGACCAAGACAGGACACCTGCCACACTCTCCCCGACCAAGCGGTGGGACAGCACATGGAGCAGAGAGAAATAGCATTGTGCAGTAGCAGAGCTGCGCAGGGTAGATAAATGAAGTACACATAGTATGTCGTCTTTGCAGTCCCGTGAGGGACATTTTATTATGATCCTGGATTTTTACATGAGAAGGCTGAGGTAAAGAGAGGTGGACTTGCTTCACTGGGAGGGTGCTTTTTGCCCACTAACCTCCACCACCTCTCACACCGCTGCCTGTTGAAGTCAGGTTGATGCATAGACCTCAGTTAAATGGATCTGGTAACAAGGTCACCTGCCTGAAGTTCACCTACTTGGGTGTGGCTTGTTCTCTGAGCTTTCCAGTACTGCGGCAAAATACTGCTTGAAATATTTACAACTAGAGACAGATATGATGTGCTAGGACCAGGTTCCAACTATTAAAGATACCTAACATCACTTTTTTAGGTAGAAAATCAGAAGGCTGTGCATACTGAGAAATACTGGAGGAACAAAGTATGTTTAGCTTCCTGGATGACTAGTATTTGTAATTGTTACGATTAAAAGCCCAATTTTTCTCCCAGTGAAGCTTTTCTTCCCCCTACTGATTTAAATACTTTTTTTTTTTTAATCAAGGTGGCTGGATATAACAACAACATACAAAAACCAATCACCTTCCTTAATGCCGGCAATAACCAGTAGAAAATATATTAGAAACTCAGCCCTTCTAGTCATAAAGATACATGCGCAAGAGAAAGTATAACAAGAAATGTGCATGCTTGGTGGAGAACATTATACTTCATCGAAAGGCATTAAAGGTAACCCAAGTAAATGAAGACATAACTCATGAAAATGGATGGAAGAGTCAATGCCAGAAATAAAGTAAATCTTCCCTAAATCGATGTAAAAATTCAACTTGATTCAAGTCGAAACCATGCCAGGCAGTTTCAGGCATCAGAGGGAGTGTAGGCTCCCGGGTTCCTGGTCGGCAGCAGAAATATGATTTCTGCATGAGCAGTGGAAGCGGAGTAGGGGCTTGGGGGCTCCCGGCCCAGCACAGGAGTGGCTTCCTGGCCTCTAGTTACCTTCTCCTTCTCCATTTTGTTCCACCGGTCCTTCCCACTCTTTTGTAACTAATTCCCTGTATTAAATTCTTCCATGCCTGAAATAGCTCAGAGGGTTTCTGTTTTGCTGACTGGACTCTACTAATACAGAAACACGTACGTGGGTGTTACGGACTGAACATTTATAGTGTCCGATAAGGTGGAAAGAGCAGGGATCTCCTGATGGGGATTAGCGCCCTTCAGAGACACCAGAGAGCTCACTCTCTCCCCACACAGGTGCGCAGAAAGGGTCATGTGAGCACACAGAGAGACTCTGCCCAGGAGAAGAGGCCTCAGGACTAAATCTACCTTGCAGGCCATCCTGATCCCAGACTTCCAGCCTCCAGAACCACAAGAAATCAATTTCTGTTGTGAAAGCCCCCCTGTCCGTGGCATCTTGATATGGCAGCCCTAGCAAACTAATACAGATCATTAAAAAAAAAAAAAGGCAAGAAAATACCAAAGATTAACTAAGAGGAACAAAACCTAAATACCAGTGGAAAGACAGGCTGAGACAAAGAAAAAAAAGAGAGAGAGACACATACACACACACATACAGTAAGAGGTGAGAGGTGAGAGGAAGGATAAAGAAATATCTCCCTCTAGCATCCTCCTGTTGTTTTGTTTTCTTTCACAAAGGGAGAGAGGTTTGGGGGGTTATTTTTTATTTGCCAAGTGGAAAGGCCCATGAAGAACTGGGGAATTATCCAGGGAACTGAGTAATTAATTATTAATAAATACTACTAATAAATATTATTATTAAATAATTCAGGCCGAATCCCTTTTTCCCCCTTAGTAATGCTTTTTTGACAACAGCATCTATATAGTTGTCTTAATCCTACTTTTACTTGCCTCTGCTGCTAACACTAATACTTGCTTGTATCACCAGTTCTAATATATTAGACGTAGGTGTAGCCAACAGCCGAATTTCAAGAGCAAGGGAAAAAAAATAATGACCTTTTGATGAAACCATAGGAAAGAAAAATCCCAAACTTCTGGCAAACTTGTGTGAAATGTGTTCCTCTAATAGTTAAGAGGATGCCATAGTTTTGCTGTTGAAATGTTCGGGATATTAAACTGAACGTATGTGCAAAATACGGTGTTAGGTGAAGTTGGGGAAATAAAACTTAGTACTTAAAGAGTGAAATCTTCCTGTAAAAAAAGATTTTTTAAGGCAAAAATACTTAATACTTTTTTTTTTTTTACCTTGGTAACAGATCCAAATGGTACTTACAGATGAGCTGCGAACAAAAACTTTGCAATGCACTAAAATGCCACAGCTTCCCTGTGCTGTGAAGGAGATTCAGGGAGAGAATTGGGCAAATTTAGGAAAGATAAGAATGTCGGACTAGAAAACACACCTGGGCCCTGGCAGGCATGTGTCCTTTAACTAGACCTGACATGAGCACCTTTGCTCATTCAGAAGCCCTCTTGTCTCAGGGTGCTGGGAAGCAAGATACCTTTCTCTGTAGCTATTGCTTTTAAGGTTAAAGTATGAAAACAAGTATTTTTTGACAGGGCATTTTTTTTTAAGATTTATTTATTTGAAAGGGAGAGAGAGAGAATCCCAAGCAGACTCCCTGCTGAGCGTGGAGCCCAAGGTGGGGCTCCATCCCACGACCCAGAGATCACAACCTGAGCTGAAGCCAAGAGTCGGATGCTTGACTGATACACCACCCGGGTGCCCTGCCAGGACATTTCTGGATAAAACTTAAATTTAGAGCCATGATTCTCATAAGAGGAGAAGGAATAGCAGAAAGAGAATCTTCGAATCTTCAAGGAGCTTTGTGAAAAGCTCCCACGCCCACTCTTCCCCAGGGAGCAGAGGAACCCCGGTTCTGGCGGGAGGATGTGATGTTCCCTGCATGGCTGGAGGCAGGGGGGGGGCAGGTTGAGTCCCTAAAACATCTAAGAACAAAAAGGGAGAAATATTTTATGGCAGTAAGAAAGCAGTGTAAAAAATAAGAATTCTCATCTCGGTTTTATTTCTTTTTACTTTTACAAAAAACAATTGTGTTAAGACTTTCTTACAAAAAAATTTTTTTTAAAGACACATACAAATGACATTCAGGAGATGAGAAGAATATCCCTCTAATACAAAGTCAGTTCAGTAAATCATGTTTTACTCCGGTGCTCGCCAGCACGTTCGGCACATTTATTCACCAAGACCCGAACCCTCCGAGGCAATCGCTTCTACGTTTTTCAACGCAGTATTATTGGTTGTGGGAAATAATTTGCCTGAGCTCTCGTTTTCTGTATCCTGTCTGGCAGCCTCCTCCCAAGTCGTTGCCAGAGGCTTCCCCATGGTTTCTGGAAGCATCAGCGATAGCACTCCGCTTATGAAGGCCAAAATCGCAACAAGCAACTAGAAGGAATTGAAAGAACAATAATAAGGGACACGTCACGAAAGAAACAGATCCTTCAGAGAATGATCATTTCTGAACCTTTGTCAGAGGGCAGCAGCATTAAATTTGATGCAACCGTGGTCATTGTTACCTCCTGGGGGAACCATGGGTCACTTTGGCAGGCCAGCAGAATGGGCACTCATTACACCATTCATTGACCACCGTGGAGACCGACTCGGTCAACCCCAGAGAGTACCTAGATTAGTACTCTGGTGAGCACTGTCCTAGGAGCGGTGTGGAGAAAAAAGACCCTGCCCCAACCTCCCAGACCCCAGCGCTTTACAGACAAACCCAGCAATTGCCTTGGGTTGGGACTTCATGATCAGAGGCTGTCTTGGTCAACTGTGCCCTGCCCCTGAAGTTGGTACATGATCAAAATTCAGTAAATGACACTCAGTGAATGAATGAATGAATGAATGAGTGAATGCACAAATGAATGTTGCAATGAGCCAAAACCTACAGAATTTAGGGGGAACCAAACAAAGGCAAATGGAAACTAATTGCTACTTGGGAAGTGGTGGTGGTGTGGTGGTGGTGGTGGTGGTAAGGATCCATGTGATTGCCTTTAAAATTCTTTACTTTCCAAATTTTCACACACACAAAAGCGACCTTTTAGATTGGCACCATGGTGTCTGCCTTCAAAAATGCAAATTCCATGATACCAATCTTACCTCAATTTTCAAAAATGCAAATTGTATTAAGAATTAAAGCCCACAGGTCTCTTCTCTGTTGATCCTTATGAAGATACTGGGTGGATTCTAGAACTAAATCTCTACACTGTCTGTAAAAATGTGTCCCATCCTCACATAATTTAAACTCCTCCAGCCAAAAAATCACCGCCTGGGAAGAGCCCATAAAAATAAATCAAGGCATGGTTTTCCTGGTGAATCTACACACTTGGTGCTTCTACAACGTCTGAGAAGGAGAAACGCCAAGCACACATTGGTTGCCAAGGTGGCGTGACGCAAGGGCCCATCAGTAACACGCGGGACTCGGGGGGACAGGCCCTTATCTTGTTTTGCACAACGCTGATAACCTCATTCTTGGGAATACTTGAGCAAGCCCAGAAGCAGTCACAGCATCTACAGTGACATTCCAAAGGACGCTTCAAGGCGTCTTCTGGAGCCTTCCAGACACAGCAGGTACACCCACCGAGTAAGTCCAAACAAGAATGAGAATGACTGGAAGGTCCAAACCAGGACTGGATGTTTCTTCTTGGCTTGGCGGTCAGGATGGTCAGGCAGCGCACAAGCCCATAACCCTCCACCTCCCTCCTGCCAGCGGAAGACCTGGTCTCCTGCCACCCTGGCCGGCTGCCCCCACCCCCTCAGGCATGCTGGGGAGCCCTCACCCCTCCGTCCCCACCTCTCACTCCCCCCTTCCTCCTCTCCAGACTCCCCTGCCTCCTAAATGGGGAGGGCAGGGTTGGGGCGGGGGAGGCCCTCTATCCACAGACCGTCCTACTTCTCACAGGTTTTTGACCTTTTCCTTTCTACCACTGATTTTCCTTCAGTAAAAATAACAGTTCTCGAGCCTCTTATAACCCACTCCGCCTGGGAGCTTGCTGGGCTCCCCGGGGTGAACTTGGGTTACTGCGACTTCCTGCTCCTCAGTTTCCTCATCTGTAAGATGGACACATGAGTGGCACCTGCCTAAAAGGACGGGGGAATGAATTAAACTCCATGACCCCATCAAGGCCCTTTGCACAGTACCCGTCCGTGGAAAGCCCAAGAAGTGTGCTTCTCTCCTTCCAGGAAGCCGGAGAGGCCCTGGGCCTCGGCCCACAGCCCTCGAGCCCAAGCCCATGCTCTGCGCCCGCTGCCTCCCTGCGTCCGCTCACCCTCTCCCCCCACCCACGGAAGCCGCTCTTCCCAGGCTGCAGACTCCCAGCTGCCGAGCCCAGCAGACCTCTTCCCGTCCTGCTCCTTCTGGGCTGCTGTCCTCTCCTGCCTTCCTGGCCTCCTCTCCTCCTTCGGGGTCCTGTCACCTCCCCACGTCGCTGGCTGCTCCTCCTGGAGGAGCTGGGCCCTCCTTCCATCACACCTGACAGGCCTCTGCTCCTAGGGCCCTGCTCTGGAGTCTGCTCACCACCCCCCCTCATAGGCTGACCCCCCCCACCTGTTCCTCCAGCTGCCCTGGGCCCCAGGCATCTGCCTCCCAGACGCCTCTGCTGGCCATCCTGCAGGTGCCTCACACTGATGAGCCATCGACGTGTTCCCTCCAGCCACGGACAACGACTTAGGCCTCCCCCCACCGCCCCATTCCCGGCACACCCAGCAGCTCACCAGGGGCGTGGATGTGACTTCTCCTGCCGTCTCTGAGTCACCCTGAGTACGAATGCCCTTCCCTCTGACCTCCTTTGACATCCCTGCCTGTTTTTCTAGATTATCTCCTGACTCCCATAACCCACCCTGGTGTTGGCGATAGGCTTGACCCCAAACCCAAACTGGCCATGTTCCTTTTTCCCTTTAAGCCTTTAATTCCCTTGCCTAGAACTCTCTTCTCTCTTTTTCCTCTGGCTGACTCTTATTGGCCCTTCCAGACGTAGACTGGAGGCCCCCTCCTCCAGGCAGCCTCCCTTCTGGCCTTGGGCTGGGTTGGGAGTCCTCGCCTATAACCCAGAGCCCTGGCCCTCCCCATACCCCGCCCTCAGCCCGGGGGCTCTTCTCCTTCCCCACCACACTGGACGGTCGGACTCTCAGGACAGAGGCTGCCTCTTTCATCTCTGCTCCATAGCACCTAACGAGGAGGTTAGTTCAACAATCAACCTCAATAAATCTTCGCCAAACCAACCGATGAATACAATGTGAGTTAGTGTGTCCACTTGTTTTTTACATTACTAGGAAACAACGGCTGATGATAAGAGCATCAGAATGAGTGATTTTCATGCGCTTCTTTTTGAAAGAGAAAATACAAACTTATCTTCCAGATTAGCATTTCCATTCCTCCGAATGAAAATACCGGCTCCCTAGGCAGCTTGACACCCAGAAATAACTTTAATGAGAAATTCTATAATTTATTTTTTTACTCACGGAAAACAACAAGCAACATCTGTTGCATCCGAAGGAAGCATATTCACAGAGTATTTCTGCAAATATACACGAGACCTGCTGACAGAGGTTGTCTTGGGGCAAGGGGGCTGGGGCTCTCGGGGGCAGGGTGGAGGAGGAGCGGATTCCCCTGCATTCCCTTCTGTCGCAGAGCGCTCCAGGCCACCCCAGGCCCCCAGCCCGCCTGCCTCCCATCTTCCTCCCACCAGAAGCATCACCCATGAAGAGTCTGTCGTGTTTCAGGTAAGCTGAAAACCAGGCACCTCTCGGCGAGGCACCACGGGGCCCTCCAAGCAGGTAGGCCTTGGGAACCCAGAGTCGAGGCCAGGTGGGGGGCCCAGGTGACTGGGGCAGAGGCCTGGGAGGCTGGAGAGAGAGCAGGGCTCTCCCTAGGCAGCTTCCAGAGACTGGGGGAGGGGGGCAGGAGAGGGTCCTTCCACAGCGGCCACGACCGCAATGAAGGGCTCACCGGGGGCAGAAGGTGACCGCCCAACATAAAACAGCAATCCCGCTCTCCTTCCCCACCGGGGAGCGGTCAGTAAGGTTTCTGTAAACCGCCACCACTGAACCCTAAATTGGCTTCTAACAGGTCCGGGTAGAGATGGCAGCTGACTGTGCTGCCTCCCTGCCGCGTCGGGGGCTGGGACCTCATGGGCACCTGTGGCAGGAAGGTCCAAACGCTGGAGAGGTACACGCAGAACGGGGCCACGATGCTCCCCATGCGGCTCACCATGCTGCCGCTCCCCACGGCCAGCGACCTGCAAACAGGAGGCACGTTAGGGTGCAGACCACGGGGTACTGCTGGGCCATCGCCAGCTCCACACGGTGGATGGAGCTGGAGGGATGATGCACAGCAACGTCGGTCAGTCAGGAGAGGCCGGGCATCCTAGGGCCCCACCGTGTGGGGAGTGTAAGGGGCAGTGAAAGGGATCATAAGGGAAGAGGGGGGACTGAGTGGGGAAAGTAAGAGCTGGGGACAAACCATGAGAGAACCCAACTCTGGGAAACAGACAGAGGGTAGTGGATGGGAGGTGGGAGGGGGGACGGGGGACTGGGTGATGGGCCCTGGGGGGGCAGGTGATGGGGTGAGCCTGGGTGTGATATTATATGGTGGCAAATCGAACTCCAATAAAAACAAATGTAAAAAAGAAAGAAAGAAAGAAAGAAAGAAAGAAAGAAAGAAAGAAAGAAAGAAAGAAAGAAAGAAAGAAAGAAAAAAAGACAGTGGCCAGAGGTGAAGCCGAGCACAGCACCGAAGCGCGGGCTGCAGGACCACCCTGGCCCTTGTCCACACTCCCAGCGGAGAATCAATACAATAACCCTAAGCTCGGCCCCAGGGCCGAAAATAAATTTTACACTGATGTTCCAAGAACTGTGTGTGATTTAGATCTGCGTTGTGCGCAACAGGGGAGTATATGAGCATACAGGTCATTCAAGACAAATCAGGACCAGAAAAAAAAAAAAAGAAGAAGAAGAAAAGAAAAGAAGATCAACCATTCTTCCTTTGCTATGCAGATGAGCACCTTATGCATATTCATTCAGTCTCACATTGAGGATGACATCCGTCTTCTAGAGCAGGAATTTGTCTGGGGTAGGGGGATGGATGGGAATCGGGGAGAATGAAAGATTTATTATATCTGTGGAACGTTCTGTTTCAATTTTTTAGAGTCAAGTGGTATCTTCTTGAGCTTTTCTTTAAAAGCCATTTAAAGAAACTTTATAGAATGTCTAGTGAGAAGGAAAGAACGTGCTTTTCATGTGAATAAGTATCTCTTAGTAAGCCAAGGAGAGAGGCCCCACCCCAGGAGAAACTAAATCTGCCTAACACCTTGGACCTCTGGCCTCCAGATATGTGAGAAAATAGACTTCTGTTGTTTCAGCCACCCGACCTTTTGGTGTTCCGTTATGGCAGCCCTAAAAATTAAGACAACTGACATCAGAACACCATGAGACACATCCTGGGAAAATTAGCCTTGAGTCCCATGGAGAGTCAGGGTAAGGCAATAATATTTGAGACTTAAAGTGGTTTTAGAATAACAGAGTGTGATTTCACCACAATTTCTTTAATATCCTTGCTAATGAGGTGTAGACAAAGCCTCAGATTCAGAATTAGCATCATCATGGAACTTTCCCATATCTCTGGAGCTCCAGTAACCACTGGAGAGAAAGCAAGCATTTATACTCAAAGGTCAAATATAATGAAACGACACTCAAGTTAACACGAAAACAAGAGAAAAATGAGTAACTCTTACCTTACCCTGGTTGGATACAGCTCTGCTGTATAAAGGTAAATGAGGCCAAACGACGCCCCTATGGCAAATTTTCCAGCCATGGTCACCACCACAGTCCAAATAAAGTGATCCTGAAAAAACATATATTAGCAAAATAGACCATCATAACTAAAATCTTTAAAGGAAATACATAAAATCTCAAAAATTATTTTAAATGTTCTAATTATCCAATAATTAGAATTATCACTCTTTTTTTTTTTAATTTTTTTTTATTTTTATTTATGATAGTCACAGAGAGAGAGAGAGAGAGGCAGAGACACAGGCAGAGGGAGAAGCAGGCTCCATGCACCGGGAGCCCGACGTGGGATTCGATCCCGGGTCTCCAGGATCGCGCCCTGGGCCAGAGGCAGGTGCCAAACCGCTGCGCCACCCAGGGATCCCTATCACTCTTTTTCAGAAGAGTGAAAACTATTATTTCTCTGTTTGAATTTACTTTGTAATCTCTACTCCTGGTCTGTAAAAGCTTTCCATCTTCATAAAATTAAGAGATTAATTTAGTGTGCCTCCCCCCAGCCTTGGAGATTTCAAATTACCAAGTTAGAAAAGCCATTTGCAGAGATTGCGATGGAATGAGACACGCCCAGAGGTCACCAGTTGCACTAGCAATTGACCCACTCCTGGAATTGATCCAAGCAGAGTGATTCAAAGAGCCATAGAAACAAATTGTGCTCCTTTGTGACAGTAATCCTCTAGTTTTATAAATTATCTTCAGAAAATAATCTGAAAGTGATAACTGAAACATTAAAAGAGATTCTTTTCTTTTTTTCTTTTGGTGGAAGCATTTCTCAACAGTGAAATTTCTCCCACTCCATTCCTGCTGCCCTTAATGTCCTCTACTTCCCGCTGGGACTCGCAAAGACTTCCCACATTCCATCTTCTCGCTCGTCTCCTGTCTGCCAGCTGGACATGGAGATCCTGGTGACCCTGGGGTTCATGTGTTGAGGTTGGCAGAGCCTCTGTCAACCTGAATCCCCAAATGACTCCGTGGAGCCAAACACCCCCTCATCACTCCTGCCACCACCAACCAGGTAGACCCTCATCAAACCTTCTATGAGCAAGAAATAAATACCTGTTATGTGAAGTCACTGGCATTTGATGATGCCTCTAATAAAGCAACTAATGTCACCTTGTTACCCTACACCCTAATTACCGTGTGTTTGTGGGATGAATTTGTTGACAGTATCTCTTGTAGACGGGATTTGTTGAAGGAATGAATGTAACTTAAAAAAAAAACATGGACACGTGTTGATACTGCCATTTGGAGAGAAACTTTTATTAAAAGGAAGAAATTTGGGGTTAAGTGTTGGTGCCCTATTTCTAGAAATCCCCATCAGCTACTTTCCTGTCTTCCCTATTATCACAGGGGCTTAACCATTATAGAACTCGAGGGTTCTGGGGTTCCCCTAAATCTTCACAAGTTCAAAGGCAGCTGCCATCAGCTCAACTAGTATACCTGTAAACCACTTAAAACAAACAAACAAACAAACAAACAAAAAGGTGTGGATGAAGTTCCCTCAAATTGGCAGCAACCTCCCGGTCCCGAGTAGTTTTACTGCCTGCATATAGTTGTATATCAATCCTCTGGAAATTTCAGCGACATAAAACATTTGATTCACCAACCTTGAGAATTAAGTGAAATGGTACTATAAAAAGAAGTCACTGGTTAACTTAAAGTAAATTTCAAACAACATGTAAAATCTTAAATGCCTTGGCTCTAAATGTTGAGATACTATTGCTGAACAATCTTATAATCCTAGAGAAAATGATAGAAAGTATTTTAAAGTGTAGTTACCAAGACCACATTTTCCAAATCAAGAATGAAAAACACAGGTTCTGATAACATTTGGGGGGGCGGGTGTGGAGAAGCACTTACTGGATGCAAGAGTTATTCTAGGGGATGGTGTTTGCCCAAATATAGGAATGGGAGGGTGCTTTCAGTAGTTTATGACATCGTTTCTCAGTAGGAAACTGCATTCTTAAGAACAAGTTCCTTGAGGGATTTAGGCATACCAGAAATTGGAAACTACTCATCTACTGCAATGAAAGACAAGACTACTTAAACTGAAACAGTCCTGAAGATAGAACTCATTGCGTCCTTCAGATATCTCTATGGCTCCCTCCCTCTTTCAGGTTTCTAATCCACTGTCACCTTCTCTGGGAGGCACACCATCCTCGATCACCCTGGATAAAGCAAACAAACACACGTGTCACACACACACACACACACACACACACACGCATTCTCCATCGCTTTTCCTGTTCTGGTTTTCTTCATACTTATAGAAACTTGATTCACTGTGAGTCTTCAGCACCTAGAACGCCACCTGCCACCTGACAGATGCTGGATACATATTTGTTGAATGAATGAACGTTTAAGATTACAATAATCACTGGAAGAGGTGATCAACTGTCCTCCTTTGGGACCTCTGTGTTTACAAAATACAACACTGGCCATCTCTGGGAAGTGAGATTACGGGTGCTTTTTTTTTTTTTTTAAACATTTTTTTCCTTAATCTTTTTTTCCATGAACATATAATACTTACACAACAGAGAAAGGATGGTTTTTAAAAGAACACATTTAAAAATATTATGTATATACTCTGTATGTCTGAATTGATCTTCATATCTGCTGTCCTAGTGTAACTGACCACGCCCTAAATTAGACATAAAAATAACTCACCTTGGGGATCACCATAACCACACCACAGAACAGTGCACCTGAGATAAGGGCGAAGGCCAGAATGCTTCTTCTCCCTATACGGTCCATCCCCAGGCACATGAAGATGTAGGCAGGAATTTCCACTGCACCTGTCATTGAGTGAAAGGGCCCTCGATAAGCCACGGCAACCAACTGCGCGACAGGACCTCGCCTTCTAACCCACCACCCAAAAGGGATGATCAGCCCTCTCCCCACTCCCAGGAGCCCCTCAGAGCTACCCAATGACTGCCCTGCAAGCTCTGCCCCCTTTTAAACTCCCTGTAGGGAGGAGGATGTGTCCTGTGAAGTACACAGACAGTCCTGCAATCCGCCTGGCACTCGTCACCTGCCCTAGGAACCTTGCCCCCCACTAGGCTGGAAGTGCCCCAGGACACGCACAGGGGGCCCAGAGGACAGGCCTGTCAGATGAATACATCAGTAAATTCACAGACGACCAGTGGATAATTTCTGACCTTTGATTTCTCACACTTGACAGAACTAGGGAAAATTCTAGATGAGTGATTTCAAAGTTTAGGAACTAAAGTAGAAAATCAGTGTGGGCTAGGTAGACAAACTAATGATAAGGCGTGATGGATTTTAAATCTAAAAGTAGGGGATCCCTGGGTGGCGCAGTGCTTTGGCGCCTGTCTTTGGCCCAGGGCGCGATCCTGGAGACCCGGGATCGAATCCCACGTCGGGCTCCCGGTGCATGGAGCCTGTTTCTCCCTCTGCCTGTGTCTCTGCCTCTCTCTGTGTGTGTGTGTGTGTGTGTGTGTGTGTGTGTGTGTGTGTGTGACTATCATAAATAAATAAAGAAAAAAATATTTAAATGTAAAAGTAAACATTTGGGACTCCTGGGGGGCCCAGCGGTTGAGAGCTTGCCTTCAGCTCAGGGCATGATCCTGGGGTCCCAGGATCGAGTCCCACATCGGGCTCCCTGCATGGAGCCTGCTTCTCCCTCTGCCCATGTCTCTGTCCCTCTCTGTCTGTGTGTCTCTCATGAATAAACAAATAAAATCTTAAAAAAACAAATAAATAAAAGCAAACATTTAAAAATCCAACATGAGGGGCACCAGGGTGGCTCAGTGGTTGAGCGTCTGCCTTTGGCTCAGGGTGTGACCTGGGATTGAGGATCGAGTCCCTCATCAGACTCATTGCAGGGAGCCTGCTTCTCCCTGTGCCTGTGTCTCTGCCTCTTCCTCTGTGTCTCTCATGAATAAATAAATAAAATATATATTTTTTTAAAATCTAACACAAGTCCCCTACAGGACGTAAACTTCCTTGAGCCTCTTTTTACTGCCCCACCACAAAAGTAAAGAGCTGCATCTTAAAAGCTCTTCTCTTGAAAAACCAAAGTTTTTGAATCTGAGATCCAGAGCCAGAAAGCTCTATGTCTATCTACCAGCCAGAATGAAATAGGAACAAGCATGAAGATCCTGTGCCCAAGCGAGCAACCCCAACGGTCTCCTTCAGGAAGCTGCCATTCTTCAGCAGCCTAGATCTTGCACGTAATTCAGTCTTCAAGTTCTTCCCTCCCTCTGCTGCTTGCCTAATCTCAGGATGCAACCCACCACGCCGCTCAGGAGTGACGTGCCCTTGTCCACCCAACTGCAGGACGTTGCAAGCCCCTGGAGAGGCAGGCCCGCGTCTATGTCTCCCCCAGCTTCGGAACACATCATCGGGGTAGATACATATACTCCGAGGGAACGTTCTCAGTAGTACATCAGAAATCAAACTCAGCTGCTGCTGCTGCTCAAAAAAAATAAAAGTGGCTCAGGCCAAGGCAAAGATTAACATCCTGAGCCACCTCCGAGAGCTGGTCCCTCTTCCTTTCATTGGCCTGGAGAAGACTCGGCTCTGAAGGAAACGCTCCCTTCCACGGGCCCTGCGGTAAGGCCCAGGCTTTCAGGCCAGATGGGTTTGTATACCTCTTACTCTACTTTTTTAAAGAGCTTATCAAGCACTTTTCAAGGTCAAGTAAGATCATGACCCTCAAAAGAGCCATATGGGAGCAGGCCTGGCTTAGTGTCCCCACTTCACCACAGGAATTAAATACTTTGAGCCAAATGAGTAAGTCACAGCTCAGGGACTAGAAGCAAGGTCTTCAGGAGCCAAGACTCCTTTGCTGCAGTCTCCCTCCCTCCTTCCTCGCCTCAGGACTGGGTCCTGGGCCACCAGCCAACTTCCCAGAGTCTAGCAAAGTGGGGCAGCAACTGTGAAATGTCTGAAGAGTGATTTAAAGTATCCTACCCTGGTTTTTCTGGAGCTGTCACTTCAGGATACGGATACTACATCTAGTTTTTGGTTTGACTGTGTCTGAGATATAAATGGTGCGAGCAACGAGCAAGCCTCCTGGGGTTAGGACAATCTGCCATTTACTTTCTTCACTCTGTAATACACAACCTCTCCCATTGCTCAGACCCAGTTCGGCTCCTAACCCCACATAACCCCCAAGGGTCTGTCTTGAAGCTACTGAAGCATTTATCACCTGCGAGTAGCCCAACACCTGAGCTGAAATCCCCACCAGCCCCAACCCATCTCAGGAGATAAAAACTCGTTCAAAAATTTCACAGCATAGAAATGTTGACACGAAGCTCCTGTCAGTAAGAGGACTTCTGGGAAGGGCAACAGCATGAAAAATCCAAGACAATAGAGAATATAAAAAACCATGTATATTTATCTTAGAAACATTGTTATACTTATGAGATGTCCCAGTTTCTTGAGAATGTATATGTCCATTAAAACTAAGAAACTATATCATAAAGATCTAAAGCTCCAGCTTCCCTAAGCTTCCCCGTGTCACACCGCACCCCACTGGGTCCTCCCGCCACTTGCTGCTCTGTTCTAGGAACGCTGCATCATTTCTCAAACTGACATACAGAATGTTTGAAGCCAAGACGGACTCAGTCTGCAAACTTGCTGGTTTGCCCAAGAGAATAAAGGTGGGTTTTTTCCCCCTTAAAATGACTTCTCTCATAATTCCTGCTGAGCTATCATGAACAAAAACAGATGTGTCATCAGAGCACTCCAATGAGAAGGGATGATACCTATGTGTAAAAATGTAAAAGCAAGATTTTCTGAGGATAATAGCAAGTGCAGGCAGCCTTTGTGAAAATAGCCAGGAGTTGCAACTAGATGGACAAATACAGATTTCTAATATTCCTCTCATGTTGGGTGTGAATTTGGACGGCCCTCGGAGTCATGCCTCAAGATGTCACAGCAATCTCTCGAGCCATTTTAACCTGCTACTAGAATGGAAGGAGCATGACAACGAAATTAGAGTTGCATGTATTTAAGTGATTTTCTTCACTGAAATTTCTAAATTCAGCACTTTTGAAGGTAGAAAGATACCAGAAGATCTCCAAGACACATTAAGTCTTAAAAGGAAAACCACCTACGAAGAACAACAGGTAGGGAATGATCTCTTGATCTGCACAAATGTATGGAAATGTGTCGAAAGAGATATAAAAGAGCACAAGCCAGATGTTAAAGACGTCACCTCTCAAAGAGAGTTCTGAGAGGGGGGTGGGCTTATAGGAAGGAAGCAAGCAAGGAGCAGAGGCAGAAAAGGAAAGAGGGACTAAATTCTTCTGACTGTTTGCATTGTTTAAAAAAATATATATATACATATATATATATACACACATATATATATATATACCTGGCATTCCAGTCTAATAACACTAAAAGAGGCCATAATAATACAGTGGGCAGTATTGTTCCTGGTAGAGAAAAGACAATAAAAGCACACTAAAAACATGGTAGAAACATCAGTTCATTGCTACACTTAAATATAATTTAACTACTTACCCATGAGGAAGAGGTTTAAATATTCATTGCCTCCTAAATTAACAGAATTCAAGGAGAAGAAGTAGAATCCCAAACACCCCGTGAACCAAATCAGCCAAACAGTAAGTGTCCTCGTTCCAACATTCCAGTCACAAAACAGATCTAATAGGTTGTGCTTCTTAACTTCAAGGGGTTCATTACCAACAGGATCATTTAGATCCAGTGACAAAAGTTCTGACAGTTTACAGGAGCTGGCCCTATTCCACTTGGCAATCGTATCAACTACTTTTTGCGCTTCTTCATATCTTCCCTCTGAGAGAAGCCAAAAAGGTGTCTCTGGGAGTATCCAACAGCACAGAACAAAAGGGATAGTCACTGTGGAGAGGACTATCTGATAGATCCACCAGGTCCTGACAAAGTAGCCTGTCAAAGCCACCACCATTGTTCCAATTGCAAAAAAGGAATGCATCTGGATGCATGCCCACGTCCGAGCCTTCATGCCAATAAATTCCGTCACATAGACAAACACCACCACGAGATAGCCACTTCCAGACTGAAAAACAAAGCAGGGAGGGTGGTCCAGATTTAAGGTCACATTTATAACTGCTAAGGGGTCTGATCTCTCTGCATATCACACACAGGCAAGAAAGAAAATGACGACAATTGTTTTCTGAAACCCATACCACATTGATAAAATCATGTTGATTCCAATCCATCCTTCTTCTTTCAATGGTTCTTTTCATCCTCCCTCCACCCTTGCCACCCCAAATGGCTCACACTTGAGAGGTTATGTATGATATAAACGAGAGGATATGAATGATATATGTTAGACACTGCCTTTTCTTATAGAGGATCGTAAGTATCCCTCTATAGTGTGAATTTATTTCTCACTTAACATAAATATAAACATGCATGCAAATTTATCTACATATAAGAGGTCCTTATCATTAAGTCCTAAATTGTTAAATGGGAACCAAAAATTATGGTAACTAGTGGGAAGAAAAAGATTTGATTGAAACTTTATTTTAACAGGCAACAAAAGAGAAAATAAATTGGGCTTCATGAAAATTAGAAACTTCTGTGCATCAAAGGACACCACCAACAGAGTGAAAAGGCAACCTACGGAATGAGATATTTATAAATCATATATCTGTTAAGAAATTAATATGCAGGATAGACTGAAGACTCCTAAAATTCAACAATAAAACAAACAATCCAATTCAAAATAAGCGAAGGATTTGGATTTTTCCAAAAAGATATACGAATGGCCAATAACCAAAGAAACGATGCTCAACATTCCTGACCATTAGGGAAACGCAAATCAAAGCCACGATGAGATACCACCTCATGGCCTTTAGGATAGTTACTATTAAAAAAAAAAACAACAACAGAAGATAACAAACGTTGACCGAGATATGGAGAAACTGGAACTTTTGAGCACTATTGGTGGGAATATAAAATGGTACAGGTGCTATGGGAAACCACACGGGGATTTCCCCAGAAAACTAAAAATAGAATTCCCATATGATCCAGCAGTCTCACTTTGGATATAGACCCGAAATAACTGAAAGTGAGATCTCAAAGAAATATTTGTACACCCATGTGTGTAACAGCATTATTCACAATGGCTAAAATGCAGAAGCAACACAAGCATCCATGCACAGATGGATAGAGGAGTGGTCTACACATACAATGGATATTATTCAGCCTTAAAAAAGGAAGGAAAGTCTGGCACATGCTACAACATGCATGCGCTTTAAGGCCATTACTCGAAGTGAAATAAGCCCATAACAAAAAGATAAAATACTGTATGATTCCACTTATATGAGGTACATAGTGTAGCTGAAATCATAGAGATAGGATGTAGAATGTGGTGGCCAGGGGCTGGGGGAAGAGGAAAGGAGGTTTGCTGTTTAGTGGGTATAGAGTTTCAGTTTTGCAAAATGAAAAGAGTTCTGGAGATGGATGCTGGGTATAGTTGCACAACAATATGAATGTACTTAATATCACTGAAAGGTAGACTTAAAAATGGTTAAGATGGTAAATTTTATGTGTACTTTACCACAATTTTTTGAATTGGGGAAAATCAACTTGATTTTGAAAATAAGCCTATTCTTTAACAAAATTTAATAGCAATATGTGATCGTTCTGGGAATAAACAAAGAATGAATCAAATAATGGGTTTTGGTGTGTGTGTGGGGGGCAATGATGAAAGGATTAGTATTTTTCCTATAAGATTATTTCACATTTGACTTTTATAACACACATCATAAAGTTAATTTTTGCAAAATTATTCAAGAGCCAAAGGCCTCTCTTAATCCTTTGATATTCAAATCACACTCTTCTGGAGACTCATCAGGTCATTATCCTTGTGGATGTTAATTTCTTTAAAAGTTAACTGGTCTACCTTTGCCACATCCCAGTTGGCCAAGGGATTTGGGTAGGATTTAGTTTTCCCCATTGCTTTCAAAGACCTTTTATAGTCAAACATCTTTTGTAAGGCCTGCAATTTCACCTCGCATCAGAAAGTCAGAAAGAAGCTGGCCTACCAGCAATTTCCTGTGACAGAGAGAATGACTCTAGTGGTAAGCAGGGATGTGCGGGGTGGGGCCTACTGCGCTAATGTTCAGCCCAATACTTTTGTGACAACGCCTTTCATTTCTCCATATGGCCTTGTAATTGCAAGACTCAGAAAATGAACCCTGATAAGGAGAACTCCCACACCCAAGAATCTGGTTGTTTGGTGAATGTTTACTGCTCTTACAGTACACAAGGATGGTGACAGACATCAAATAGCACAAATTTCCCCCATTAAGTTAAGCAGTGACATCAGTCCCTGGCAGGTTTTTTCCAGGTGCTTTCTGAATCCACTCCTACTCCCTCTAGGTTACTTCTGTCACTGGGTTCAAACAATCCTTTTGAACAAAGGATTAACCCAACTATATAATTCCAAAACACTCCCTGGATCCATTCACACCCATCACTTCTACTGATAACGTCCTGCTCTTCACATCTACCCTCAGCCCTCCGCCCCACAGCAGCCGAAACAGCCACTTGGGCCCGCCTGAACCCCTGCAGGAGATTCCCATTGCCTCGAGGAAATCAAGGAAACTTGTGATCATCCTCCAAGGCCCCGGTTGGTCATCCCTCTCCCCATCAGCCTCAGCAAGGTTATTTCACCTCCTCTCTAGTCTCCAGACACCCAGACCTCCAATTCCTTCTCACCGTAGGGCCTTCTCATCTTACTTGCTGCCTCTGCCTGGAATATTCTTGCCTTACCCACCCCTCAGGACTAAAAGGCCCCTGACTCTCCAGACTCCCCACCCTCTCAACTTAAGATCCGCTCGCTCCCCCCCCTCCCCCCACTGTCACACCTCCACTGTCAACATTGTATTTTTGAAGATGGCCCATCAGTGTTTTGACTTTCCCACTACACTGTAGGGTCATTGAAACAGTCTGGTCTGGATTACTTAGCATTACGATCTGCAGGCAGATCAATAAATGTGTTGAGCAAATGAGCCGGCCTGCATCTTCCCTACTCAGAGTTCAACCGCAGCCACATTTCTCAGGAAAATCAAAGACAAGAGCCACAGACAATTAAGCTACATTGACAAATGCGTTCAATGAGTGGACGTCTCATTTTCTCAGGTCTGAAAATAAACACATGGTATTTGCAAGACCGAAACAGATATTTTCAGAATTTATCCTCTTAAGTCTTCGCACCCTCTCCGTACCTGTGCCTCTGGTGAACCATCATTCCCACCAAGGGTCTCATCAAATCTCACTCTGCAGTCACAGAGCCATTTCCTCTTATTCCATCCTCAGTGGAGACAGACCGCCGCTTGTTATCTTTTGTATTTAAAAACTCTTTACATTTCTAAATATAGATAATTACTTTTTTTTTAAGGTCCTGCACCTCCTAATTCTCCTAATTTTTTTTTCTTTTTATGCATCATCCCTATCCTTGGCCATTTGCGTGGCTGCCTAGGAACCCTGTCCAGCCTGTGAGTGCTAGGATACCTTCTGAGCTCGCAGTCCTTGGCTTCTCCCTGGAATCTTGGCTCATACATCCTGGTGAGAGGGGACACATGCCAGCCCGTTCAGCTAGGTCACAAGCTCCTCCCACAGACAGAAACCTCACTCCACTACCCTTGACCAGTGACCTCCAAACAGATTCACTGCGGCTGGCCTCTGGCAGTCTGGAGCCTATCTGAAAGCCTCACTGAGTGTAGGGACGCTTCCTCCCTGGCTGGTCCACTTCTGATGACAGTCCCCACCAGAATGACTGCCAATGTCACGTCAGGTGCCCTACCGTGGATACTAACTGTAATTTCCCTGGGTCCTGATAATAACCCAGTGAAGCATGTAGTACTTCCTGCAGTTTACAGCTTAGAAACTAAGGCTCAAAGAGGACTACCTGTTTGCCCAAGGCCACACAGCTAAAAAGCCAAAATATGGCAAAGCTGGTACTCAAACCCATGCCCTTTCCCTACATGTCCCTGTTCCTCATAACAGAAAAGCCTGATGCCTTCTTGTTCTCTTTCCTGCTGCACACTACACAGACGACTCTCTTAACAACACACCTTAAGCATCTGTTGGGCTCGTGCATACAGGGTCTGACTAGGCCACTGTAATTGCTCAGAAATGAAATGACGCCTCAGTAATTGGGGAATGCGGATCATGTGCCAGGCATGGGGTCAAACAAAAGGTCTCTGCCTCGTAAGCAACCATTTTTCATTTTAATGAGCTTCACTGTAAACACAGGGCGCCACTATCCCACAAAAAAGACTTCTCAGTGGAATGAACAAAGATTAGTCCTTGATCGCTCTCACCACATGCCACATGACCCAAACTAAGACAGTCGGGCTCGACGTGAAAACACTGCAGCCGAATTAATGAGGTCTTTGAAAAGCACACACACAACTCACCATGGCAAGAAGAAAGCGTGCGACCATGAAGCTGTAATAATCAAACGAGAACGCCGCTGCTATGCCAAAGAAAAATATGCCAGCGCTTGTGGACCACAAGACAAGGCGTCTTCCTATCCTGAAAAATAAGAATCACACAGTGGAACAAGCAAAGTAATGGTTATAACAGTTCCAACACCCACTCAATTCACAAAAGTTGAGTGTTGCCTACGTATCTCATAGCTTATGTACTGGTTCCTGCTGCTCATTCATCTATTTGGGGAAATAGTGAGTGACTTCTTTAAGAGGCCAGTCTTTCGGTGGAGAGGCCCCCACCCAAGCCACTAATATACATACATGATCACCCTGTGTGATCCCCAGTGCGCCTCCTAACCCAGGACTGCTGAGGGAAAGGAGGGTTTGTCCTTTTACTCCCAGACTTCTGCTGTCTGACCTGTTGGACCATCTTCCCTGTAGGGCTGGCTCTGCCCACACGGGTAGAGAAGGTCTTGCCAAGCCTCTTTAAAAACACGTGGGTGGGGGATTGGGGTAACTGGGTGATGGGCCCTGAGGAGGGCACTTGATGGGATGAGCACTGGGTGTTACACTGGTGTCACGTTGGCGAATTGAACTTCAATAAAAACAAATGAAAAATAAGCAGATAAAAGTAAAGAATAAAAAAATAAAAACAGAGGGCTTGCTACATTCTGCTCCTAGAATACGGGGCTTGCTTGCTCCGCATTTTCATAATTGGGAGGGGCATTTATTTGCCTAAAAAGCAAACAAACAAATTATAATCCTGACAGATTTTTTAAAAATTGAGATATCATTCACAAACCACAGAGTCCGACCTTTGCAAGTATACAGTGCAGGGGCTTTCAGTGTATTCACCAAGTCGTGCAGCCCTCATGACTAATTCCAGGATATTTTTCATCACTCCAAAAAGAAATTCTGCACCCAGCAGCCGTCATCCCGCCTTTTGTGCGCACCCCCTCCCTCCAGCTCTTGACTTCCACTAACCCACTCTCTGTCTCCAGGGAGTTGCTTACTCTGGACATTTTATATTAACAGAGTCGCACAATATATGGCCTGTGGTGTCTGGCTTCCTTTACTTAGCATTGTGTCTGTAAGATTCGTCTGTGATGCAGTGTGTATCGATCGGTACTTCATTCCTTTCTGGGTCTAAATAACACTCCACTGGGTGGCTATACCACATTTGTTTATCTATCCATCAGTTGAAAGACATTTGGATCGCCTCGGCTTCCCAGCTATGGGGAATAATGCTGCTGTGAACATTTTGTGAGCAAAATTTTGTGTTCGGTTCTCTTGGGTATGTAGCTAGGAGCGGAATTGCCGGCACCTACGATAACCCTATGTTTAACATTTGGAGGAACTGCCAAACTGCTTTCCAAAGTGGCTCCCCATTTTTACAATCTCACCCACAATGGACGAATTTCCCCACATCCTTGATGACACGTGTCCGTTATTGTCTGTCTTTTTGATTACGGCCATCCTCGTGAGTGTGCAGGGGTATCTCATTGTGGTTTTGATGTGCACTTCCTTCATGACTGATGATGTTGAGCATTTTCATATGTGCTTGTTGGCCATTTGCACATATTCTTTAAAGAAATATCTATCTAAATCCTTTGCCTGTTTTTAAACTGGGTTGTTTGTCCTTATATTGTTGAGTTATAAGAGTTCTTTATATATTCAGGATCCTGGGCTCTTATCAGATATGTGGTTAACAAATATTTTCTGCCTGTGAGTTGTCCCTGATAGATAATCTTAAGGCAAAGATTATAGCCTTGAGATTCCAACCAACACATTTCCCTGGTAAAGTGGAGGATACACAAGCTAATAAAAAACTGTCCTCTGCACACCCTCAGCCTTCTATGCTCCCACACACACACTTGTAGGGATGCTTGGGCCTACACATGCATGGTTTCCAAACTCATCTGAGCCCTGAATGCCATTTCATACTTTTTACCCACCACTCCCTCCATCAACCTCCTCTGCCACCCACGATGTCTGCACCTCCCATCTCCTGCAGAGAACACAGGCCATCAAAGAGAAAGCCCCACAACTTCCTGCTGGGCCCACCTGCCAACAAACCTGCATTCTGCATTCAGCTTTCTCTTCTTCCCTCCTCTCTGGAGACACCCAACCCACCCTTTTCTCTCCAGATACCAGTTTGCAATCTTTGTATTGGATCGTGCCTCTTCCCTCCTCCTCTGAGAACTTATTCTAACAGTTACTTCTTTGGCCTCTCTCTTTTTCTCTCCTCAGACTCCTTCTTTTCAGTTTAAGTCTTTTCCAGCCAAAGACAAGAGCCTTCCATGGAACCTAGCACTCCATCAGCCACATTTCATCCTGCCTTTCCTCCACCAATGGCTTATCGGGAAGGAATACGGATGCCTCAACTTCTATGTCTCCTTAGCTGGTGACCACCGGGTCGCCACTGACTTTTCTGAGATGGCCCTCCAGTCACCAGGGACCCGCAGGCTGCCTGTCTCCTTAGTGCCATGGACCATTCCTGCTCTGAAGGCCCACTCCACCTCGGCTTGCCGAACACCACTCTCCACGTTTGGCCCAGGCCTCCCTGACGGCCCACCTGCCTCAGCGTCGGCATTTCCCAAAGTCCTCTACTGCACGCTCTGGGCCCTTGAGATGTCATCTGCCTCCCTGCCTCTGATTCCTAAGAACATGCTGTCAACTGCCCACATGCCTTCTGGTCCTAGTGGCTCTGCTCCACTTGTTTTTTTTTTTTTTTAAGATTTTTAATTTATTTATTAGAGAAAGAGAGAGCACGAGTGGAGAGGAAGGGGCAGAGGATGAGGGAGAAGGAGAAGCAGACTCCGCTGAACAGGGAGCACAATTTGGGGCTCGATCCCAGGATCCTGAGACCATGACTCCAGCCAAAGGCAGACGCTTCACTGCCTGAGCCACCCAGGCGCCCCGGCTCTTCTCCATTTCGAGGTCCTGCATAGCTGCTATCTTTGTTATTGGTGGTGGTATTTCGATTTTCCCTTTCTTTCTTAATCCAGGGGTAGGACATGCTCATGGGAAAATATACCCAGACACGGTTCCCTTTCTTCTGAAGTGGCTCTCTCCTTCATGTTTCCTGAATTGGTTGGTTTTCTTTCCTCTTCTTCCAGCATAGTGGTCACTGAATCACGTCAGTTTAAAAATTCCTCAAGGGAATCCCTGGGTGGCGCAGCGGTTTGGCACCTGCCCTTGGCCCAGGGCGTGATCCTGGAGACCTGGGATCGAATCCCACATCAGGTTCCCGGTGCATGGAGCCTGCTTCTCCCTCTGCCTATGTCTCTGCCTCTCTCTCTCTCTCTCTGTATGACTATCATAAATAAATAATACAATTTTTTTTAAAAAAATGCCCCCTCAATATGTGTCCACCTTGGCCTCTCTGTCTCTCCTACCTTCATTCAGGCCTTTGCCTCCCCCTACATACATCACTCATCCCCATGGCCTCCCAACCAACCAGGCCTGAGCGCACCTCTCCCACACTTCCCAGAAATAAAAACAATCCCAGGTGTAGTTTTGCTTCACTACCTTTATCCATCCTATGTGTCTGCCAAATGGGCCTCCCCACAATTCCCTGAACGTGCTAGGCTCTCTCATCCCATGAAGTCGTCCCCCCACCTCATAGAAAGCCTTCTCTATTGAGCATTTAAAACCCAGGTCAATGGGGCACCTGGGTGGCTCAGTGGTTGAGCGTCTGCCTTCAGCCTGGGGCGTGATCCCGGAGTCCTGGGATCAAGTCCCACATCAGGCTCCCTGCATGGAGCCTGCTTCTCCCTCTGCCTCTCTGTGTCTCTCACGAATAAATAAATAAAATCTTAAAAAAATAAAAAATAAAATAAAACCCAGATCAAATGTGCAGCCTTTTCTGACCAGCCTCTGGGGTCTTGCAGCAGAAATGAAGAGAAAATGGAAGGTAGCAATTAGGTATTCAGGCCTGGGTTCAAATCCCAGCTCCATTGCTTACTTTCTAAATAAACTTTCTGTGCCTCCTTTTCCATACCAGTACTTAAAATAGGGCCAATAGTGCCTACCTCACAGATTTCTTTAAATAATCAAACGAAATAATGCACAAGACATTTAGAATAGTACCGAGTGCATAGGAAATGGTTCATAAATGTGAGCTATTATTATTTTAAGAGCATTTATCACATTTCATTGAAATTATCTGTTTAAAAGTCTTTCTCCTCCACTGTTATCTCTGTAAGGATGGGATCAGATCTTATTTCTTTGCTTTTTATTATTTTTTATTATAATATATCATACATACATCAGAATACATAAAAATATATATGTACAATTTGGAGAATAAAGACTCAAACATCTATGAATTCACAACCCAAAGCAAGAAAAAGATCATTGCCACTCTCCCAGTAGCACCTGAGAGAGGTGCTCTCTCTCACACCTCCCTTTGTGATTCCAAACCCCAAACTCCTTCCCCCCTTTTGGAAGGACCATTATCCTAATTTTAGTGACCATCAATTCCTTGCTCTTCATTCCATTTTAACATAGGCAGCCCTAAAAAATACAGGTTACTTTTGCCAGTTTTTGAACTTTCTATAATCAAATGGTACTATGTGTATTATGGCTCTCTTCTTTCACTCAATACTATTTTTGGAAACTCATCTCTGTTGTTTGTGAAGCTATAGTTCATTCATTGAATGGCCACATATCCCACAGCAAGAAATACTGCAAAACATGTGTCTACAATATGGCTGACGTACATTTGGGTTGTTTGCATGGCCAGGCTGGTAGCAACAATGCTGTAGGAGCCTTCTAATGCACGTACCCACGTGGACGTGTGCAAGAGCTTCTCCAGAGTACTAGCCTAGAACATGTGAACTGTACCTATCATCAACTTTTCTATATAATGATAAACCATTCTTCAAAGTTTTTTTAATTTGTATTTTCAATTTGCACTCACACCAGCAGGGTGAGAACTCCTACTACTCTGTATCCTCACCAACACTTGGCATTACAAGAATTTCTACTTTTGACAACTGGTCAACAATAAATGGTATGGTTATATACCACTAACACCTTTTTCATCTCTTCATCAGCCATTTGGATGTTCTCTTTTATGAAGTGATTTCAAATCTTTTTCTCAATCTTCTGTTAGGTTGTCTATCTTTTTTCCCAATTGATATAAAAGTCCTTTAAGTACTCTGGATTTTAATCCTTTGGTTACATGTAAAGCAAATATTCTCTCTCTCGCTCTCTGGCCTGTCTTTCTTCCTAATGGTGTCTTTTCGTGGACATAAATTCTTCTAGTGAAGTCAAATTTATCCATATTTTTCCATTGTGGTTAGTGCTTTTTGTGTCTTCAAAAAAGTCATCCCTTCCTTCAAGTAGGTTCTGAAAATATTCTCTCATATTATCATCCTAACATTATATGGTTTTCCCTTTCCCATATGTATCTTTAATCATTCTAGATTTTAATCCTGATTTTCATACTATAAGGTGTGAGGAAGGGACACTGGTTGTATTTTCTTCTATATGGCTAACAGTTGTCCCAGGACCACTCATTAATCCTTTTCCTACTGATGTGTGATGCCTTATTTGTTCCATAGTTATATCTATAAATGCACTACTCATGGTCCTCTAAGGAGCTATCAACGGTTTGTCTAATGATACATCTATTTATCTTAATGACTTGATTCTTGAAGTTTGTTATTTTCTCTATAGAAGTTTGCCATTTGTACACACGTTTTTGATAGATTTATCCATATATATTTTATATTTTTTGGCTTTTGCAATGGCATTTTTTAAACTTTTTAAAAATTGAAGTATAGTTGACACATGGTTACATTAGTTTCAGATGTACAATATAGTGATTCAACAACTCTACACATTATGCTATACTCACCACAAGTGTAGCTACCATCTGTGCCCACACAATGTTGTTATAATACTATTGACTATATTCCCTACGCTAATAATGACTTATTTATTCCATAACTGGAAGCCTGTATTTCCCACAGCCCTTCACCCATTTCACGCACCCCCCACTGCCTCCCCTTTGGCAACCATCAGTTTGTTTTCTGTATTTATGAGTCTTGTTCTGCTTTTTATCTGTTTGTTCATTTGTTTTGCTTTTTAGATTTCACATATAAGTGAAATCATATGATATTTGACTTTCTTTGACTTATCTCACTTAGCACAGTATCCTTCAGATCCATCCATGCTGTTGCAAATGGCAAGTTTTTGTTCTTTTTTATAGCTGGAATATTATTCAGCCACATAATATTACATATAATCTATTAATATATTATTAATATATGTCATGTCTTCTTTATCCATTCATCTATCAATCAACACTTAGGTTGCTTCCATATCTTGACTATTGTAAATAATGCTACAATAAACATAAAGGAGCATATACCTTTTCAAATTAGTGTTTTCGTTTTCTTTGGGTAAATACACAGTAATGGAATTACTAGATCATATGGTGTTCCTATTTTTAATTTTTTGAGGAACTTCCATATTATTTTTCCACAGCGATTACACCAATTTACATTCCCACTAACAGTGCAAAAAGGTGCTTTTTTTCTTCACATTTTCACCAATATATGCTATTTCGTCTTTTTTTAATTTTAGCCATTCTGAGATGAAAGGTGGTATCTCATTGCGGTTTTGATTTGCATTTAGTGATGTTGAGCATCTTCTCATGTGTCTGTTGGCTATCTGCATGTCTTCTTTGGGAAAATGTCTACTCACGTCTTCTGCCCATTTTTTTAATCAAATTATTTTTTTGGTATTCAGTTGTATAACTTCTTTATAGCTTTTGGGTACTAACCCATTATGGACATTTCATTTACAAATATCTTCTCCCATTCAGTAGTTTGCCTTTTTGTGCTGTTGATGGTTTCCTTCACTGTACAAAAGCTTTTTATTTTGGGGTAGTCCTAACAATTTATTTTTGCTGTTGTTTCCCTTGCCTGAGGGGACATTTCTAGAAAAATGTTGCTAAGACCAATGTCAAAGAGATTATTGCTTATGTTTTTTTCTATGAGTTTTGTGGTTTCAGATCTCATATTTAGGTTTTTATTCATCTCAAGTTTATTTTTGTGTGATATTAAAAAATGGCCTGGTTCCATTCTATTGCATGTAGCTGTCCAGTTTTCCCAGCACTATTTATTGGAGAGATTGTCTTTTCCTCATCATATATTCTTGCCTCCTTTGTTATAGATTAATTAACCATATAAATGTGACTTTATTTCTGGGCTCTGCAGTGGCATTTAAAAAATTTTTTATATTTGTTACTAGTAGATAGAAACATAATTAATGTATATGTATTGATAACATGTCTAGTAACCTCATTAAATGTTCATTAGTTCAAATAATTCATCTGCTGTATTTTCTTCATACAGAATTATAATGGCTAAAAATAATGACTTTTCTTCTTTCTTTCTGCTTCTTTCTTTCTTTCCTCTGCTTCTCCCTCTCTTTTCTTTCTCTGTTTTGCTTTACAGCACTAGAATCTCCAATACAAAACAAAGCAGAAGCAGTATTTCATATGTCCTTATATGTTCCTGATTCCAAAGGAAAAGCTTTTAACATTTCACAGTGAAGATGTTCATGACAGATCTTTCTGTAGGAGATCTACCTATCATCAGGTTAAGGACATTCTACTTTTAGTTATGTCATGAATAGATTTTGAAATTTATCAAATGTTTTTTCTATATTTACTGAGTTGATAATATGAGTTTTGTCCTCTAATCTGTTAGTGTGGTAAATTCCATTGGTAGTTCGTAATACCTAAGTATATTTCAGACCTTATTCCTCTGCTTTCATGAATTTTAAACTCTCATATATTCTATCTGCCTCTCTGATGTTTAGTATTGATAATTTTTTCTGAACTCTCATTCATTTTATTCATTCTTTCTTTTCTTGTATATAATACGTTGTTTAAAATATCCAGGAATTTGTCAGTCACTTATTTTGGTTTTTATTTCTAGATGTTCTACACAGTTATTCTTCAATTTTATATCATTAAAAAATATAAATAAATAAATAAATAAATAAATAAATAAATAAATAAATAAAATACAATTACCAGGATCACCTGCCTGGCTCAGTTGGTGGAGCATGCGACTCTTGATCTTGAAAGGCTATGAATTCTAGCGTCATGTTGGGAGAACGGCTTACTTTAAATAAGTAACTGAATTAATTAATTAATTAAGTTGATCTCTTTAATAAAATACAATTTCCAGATTTTTATCAATAATTTCAAGCTTGTCTTCTATTCCTTTAAGAGCAGTAAACATAGTGAATTTATTACTTAGATGCCTGACAATTCCAGTATTTGAAGTCTTTGTTCAGAAGGTTTGCTTTTGTTGCCTATTGCTTCTGCTGACTCTCACTTAATGAAACACAAGTTATGCAATTTGCCCAGGGCTCATGGCTAATAAGTGGTAGCACCAGGATCTGAACCCAGATAGATTATCTTCAGAATCTAAGCTCTAACCACTATGTTTTTTGTGTGTCCCTAAATAGTAGATCAGCAAAGAGGTAAGTATTTAGATGTATGAAAATTACTAAAGTTTTGAACATAATTTCCTGACCTCTAAGAAAACCAAATAGGAAGAACCCTACACTGATGCAATATTTCATTTTACCTGTCAGAAAGGTAGCCAAAAATCATCGCTCCCAGCAGGACTCCCAACATAAATACGGGCTGGATCACCTTTGCGAACCATTCTCGGTTACAGACCAGATCCCACTGAGTCACCACGGTGCTGTCCCACTTGCTCTTGTCATAGACGTAGCCATCCACACAAGGAAAGCTACTCTTAGGGCCATTATAATCAGAGTTCAAACCAGACTTCTCATCCCTCCGGAATCTGTGACAACTTGTGAGCTCCCAGACCTCACCGTTCTGTAGCTGCACTACAATCCGATCTTCATGGCCTGTGAAAAACAGGATCCAGATGTCCTCCAACCTCCAACTAGAGATATTGTGGAAAAGAACTCGACTCACGTTGCCTGGAGGCCTGCAGGTATGGTAGGGGGACACTGTCATGAACACAGAAGCCAAGTAGTGGATACCACAAGAGATGTTCTGGAAGGCACATATTAAATAGAGGACTATCTGAAATCTGCAAAGAGAAGAAAAGCAAGTTATTAATTCTGGCATATGGGCTAAAAAGGACTATGAATAAATATGAAGGTTGTTCATCACATTTAGCATAATATATATACAGATGGATAAATACAGAAATAATTATAGATATGTTGCTATACACATATATATACATATATATACACATACATACATACATAGCTGTATGTGTATACATACATAGCTCTGTCTGTTAGGAGGACCCACACGTAATGACATTGCAATAGGGGAACTAAAGGGACCACATGAAATACTGCTTTTTTTGCACCTTTTTCTGCTTCTATTCTTGCTAGGACATACATCCTTTCCTTACACATGCCTTATAGATCAGATAATGTATGTCCTCCTTATAAAGGCCAAGGAGTTAATGTTATTTCTTTGGAGTCTTCCATCACAGTAGATAACATCCAAGGAGTGACGTGGTGGGGTCATCACGAACGTTTTCCAAGACCACTAACTCACCAAGACCCCTGGCTCCAGGGCATAAGTGACTTGTGGAGAGCACTTAAACACTCATCTTTGTTTCTGGGTGCCTGAGAAGACACGTGCACCAGACCACCATCCCAATAAAAACCCCAGACTCCAAGCAAAGATGAAACTCACCCTCCTTTCCTTTTTGAGACTCCCAGAAGCTCTGTCTGTATCTGCTCTATGTCTTCAATAAACTCTGCTCTCACTTCTTGGCTCACATTTGATTTCTATCTTTTTTTGTTTTTGTTTGTTTGTTTGTTTGTTTGTTTTATTTCTATCTTGTGCGAAGCCAAGGACCCTCCTGGCTGGTCCTGTGGGACACCCTCAGGGTCCTCGAACCTGGCCAACCTGCATCAACATCCCTGTAGCAACACACACCCAGTGCCCAGATCTTGTTTTCTAAAAACCATTCTCCAGTAACAGGAACCAGGAAAAGTGGTTGATTTAAGACCAGGACAGGGAAAATAAAAACTATGCCTAAAGCATCTTATGGTACGAGGAAGTAAAGAAACGCTCAAAATACAAAAGTTTGGGGCATGTCAAAGGGATACAGGAACCAATTTGAAAAAGCTCCCAACGGGCAAGGCTGAAACAATCTAAGCAACAAAATAAATAACATGGTATATCCCAAAGTATTAAATAAATATACGAGTCTATAAGCTGAGGTTTAATTTTATGTGTCAACATGACTGGGCTAAGGAACGCCCAGCTAGCTGGTGACCATTATTTTTGGACGTGTCTATGAGGTTGTCTCTGGATGTGATTAACATTTGAATGGGTAGGTGAAAGAAAGAAGATTGCTCTCACCAGTGGGGGGCCTCATCCAATCCACCAAGGGCCTGACTAGAACAACAGGCGGTGGAAGGGCAAATGTGACCTTTCTGCTGGAGCTGAGACCTCCATCTTCTCCTCCCCTTGGACACCGACATACCTCATTCTCAGGCTTTTGGACTCAGACTGAGACAGGGAAATGGAAGGACTCCATAAAAACCTGCTTCTTGCTCCTTTTCCTGCTTCTAGTCTCGCTAGGGCCTGTACCCTCACTTCACACATGCCTCAGAATGCAAACAGTGTATGTCCTCCTTGTGAGGGACACAGAATTAATGATTTCATTAGAATAGATCATATCTAAGGAAGAATCAGGTGAGAATGGCCAGATGGAGTTACCAAGTGCATCTTCCAGGTCACCAGCACTAGCCATCTTGATGCCAAGCCCCACCTCCCAAGGAATAACACTTGGGCCTTCGTCTTTGTTCTAACGGTTCCTGGATGCCTGGGTAGAAACATACACTGGACCATGATCCTCAATAAAAACCCCCCAGACCCTGAACAAAGACAAGATTTCCTCCTTTCCTTTCTGAGTCTCCCAAAAGTACTGTCTGTACCTATATTCTATCTACTTTCAGTGAGCTCTGTTTTCAACTCCTGCTGGCTCAAGTTTGATTTCTAGCCTGTGCACTGCCAGAGACTCTCCTGGCTGGTCCTGTGGGTCTCCTTCTGGGTCCTTGGACCCGGCCTGCTGGCAGCTAGACCAAAACTTACATCTTCAGCCCCCCAATTTTTAGGCCTTCAGACCTGGGCTTTCCTGGATCTCCAGCCTGCACACAGCACACTGTGGGACTTGTCTGCCTCCACAACTGTGCGAGCCAATTCTTATAATAAATCCTGATCTATCTGTATCCTATTTGTCCTGTTTCTCTGGGGACCTTGAGAAATGCAGATTTTGATACTGAAGGTTGTTTTACAGGAACAGAACTTTAAGAATGAGCTTTCTGAATTGGTTCTGGGGTTTCTGGAATTGGGTCGTCTGACCTGCTCAGATTTAAAAACATCGGGCAGTCCGGGTGGCTCAGCGGTTTAGCGCTGCCTTTGGCCCAGGGTGTGATCCTGGAGACCCGGGATCGAGTCCCACGTCGGGCTCCCTGCATGGAGCCTGCTTCTCCCTTTGCCTGTGTCTCTGCCTCTTGCTCTCTCTGTGTCTCTCATTAATAAATAAATAAAATCTTTAAAAAAAATAAAAACATTGATGACTCTATTTCTAGTGTAAAGGGAGCACTGACCATCCACAGTGCAAACTGTTTATAGAAATACACAAAATTGGGACACCTGGGTGGCTCAGTTGTTCCACAGTCTGACCCTTGATTTTGGCTCAGGTCATGATCTCAGGGTTGTGAGATCCACTGGGCATGGAGCCTGCTTCAGATTCTCTCTCTCACTCTGCCCCTCCTCCCCTCTCTCTCTCTTAAAAAAAAAAAAAAGGAAAAAAAAAGAAATACACAAAATATCTGCACTGAGTACTCCTAATCAACCCCTTATAAGAAGCAAAAGTTTCAGTGACTCTGTATATGGTACTTTCAAACATGCTTGGAGAACCAAAGATTGTCATGGCATTGGTTGGTGGCTCCTAACGTCCCTTCCCTGCAAGAACAAGTGAAAGAAAAAAGAATTCCCAGCCCAAGCACTGCCTAAACCACCAGAGAACTAGGTCTGTTCTGAAGTGGAGCCTTATCTCTTGTAGCCACAGGCTTGAAATTGCTGAAAATCAAACAGAACCTCAGAACCTCATTCTGTGAGTGGCTGAATGACAATGCCTAATTGACCTCTTTGAGTTTGGAAGGCAACGTATATTCTTCGTTTGAATGTGACTCTGGCCCAGCTACTAAGTGACCCACTAAGCTGCTAGTTTCCAGTGAAGCCCAGAAGGAGAGAAGGCTCTGCAACAGGTGCAGGCCGCTGTAGAAGCTGCTCTGTCACTTGGGCAGATCCGACGGTGCTTGAACTGTCAGTGGCATAGGGATGGATGCTTTTTGGAGCCTCTGACAGGCTCTTATAGGTGGACCCTAGCACAGGCACCTAGGATTTTGGAGCAAGGCCCTGCCATCCTCTGCAGATAGCTACTTTCCTTTTCAGAAACAGCTCTTGGTGCACTATTGGTTCTTAGCATAAATTGAAAACCTGACGGTGGGCCACTGAGTTACCACACGACCTGAGCTGCCCAACATCAACTGGGTGTTACCAGTGGGTGTTACCTGACCCACTAAGCCACAAAGTTGAGCATCCACAGCAACACTCCATCATCAAATGGAGGCAGACAATAGACGACTGGGTGAGCAGATCCTGAAGGCACAAGAAATGAGAGAAGTGGCCCAACTGTTTACAGTCCACACTCCCACTATACTGCCTTCTTTTTATTTTTTTTTCTGATTAAAGTGGGCTTTTTAAAAAAAAAATTGTGGTAAGAACACTCAGCATTCTATCCTGTCCAGCATATCTATCCTGTTCACAAATCACAAGTGTACATTATTATTGATTCTAAGTACAGTATTGTACAGCCGATTCCTAGAGCTTATTCATCTTACTTAACTGAAACTTTATGTCTGTTGATTAATAAATTCCCATTTCCCTCTCTCCCCTCCAGCCCCTGGTAACCACCATTCCAGGGTGTTTTTTTTTTTTTTTTTTAAATTTTACTATTTTAGATACCTCTGTAAGTGGAATCATGCAATACTTATCTTTTTGTGTCTGGCCTATATTACTTAGCAAAAGGTGATGCGTATTGCAGAATTCCTTCTTCTTCTTCTTCTTCTTCTTCTTCTTCTTCTTCTTCTTCTTCTTTTTTTAAGGCTGAATCATATTCCATTGTAGGTATATACCACACTTCCTTCATCCATTCATTTGTGGATACACACTCCCGTTGTTTCCACATCTTAGCTATTGCGAATAGGGCTCTACACAGAATACCCATAACCATGGAAATGCTAATATCTTTTCCAGATCCTATTTTCAGTTCCAGAAGTAGGATTGCTGGATCATATGGTGGCTCTATTTTTAATTTTTTGTTTTCCATACTGTTTTCCATAGCAGCTGTGCCAGTTTGTGTTCCCATCAGCAGCATACAAGTGTTCCAATTTCTCATATCCTCGCCAACATGTGTTGTCCTTTGTTGTTGTTTTTTAAATAACAGCCACCCTAACAGGTGTAAGGTGATATCTTATTGTGCTTTTAATTTGCAGTTCCCTGATTAATGACAAAAGGCATTTTTTCATACACCAATTGACCATTTGTGTATTTTCCTTGGAGAAGTGTCTATTCAAGTCATAGCCCCCCCCCCTTTTTTTTTTTAAAGATTTCATTTATTTTTTCATGACAGACACAGAGAGAGAGGCAGAGACACAGGCAGAGGGAGAAGCAGGCTCCCTGTGGAGAGCCCGATGTGGGACTCGACCCCGGGACCCCAGGATCACGCCCTGAGCCAAAGGCAGACACTCAACCACTGAGCCACCCAGGTGCCCCCATAGGCTCATTTTTTAATCAGGTTATTAATTTATTGGTTTTGAGTTGTATCCATTCCTTATTTTCTTAGAGATTAGCTCCCTATCAGATATATGGTTTACAAATATTTTCTCCTACTTTGTAGGTTGACTTTTTACCCTGTTGATTGTTGCCTTTGCTGTGAAAAAGCTTTTTGGTTTGATATAACCCCACTGGTTTATTTTTGATTATTGC